TGCCCGTTGTAACATCTGCTGTTCAATGCAATGCCTATTGTGTAATGTATTGCCATTAGGTAGATGATTACATGATAACTATCACACTTATTGACAGTTATATAACTCTTCCAATCTGATGTCACATAATGCTTCATAATATCAGAGCATGTTTCAGGTGAAACAGAAAGATATGTTAAGTTTATCAGAATGCCATTGTCTTCTTCGGCCCTTTAAATGTCTGGCTTAATTAGTTAAGAGCATACTTCTTGGTAGGGTTGTGTATGATGATACAATGGTAGACTGTAAATCTAGTAAATCTTGTAAACCTTGTAAAACTTGTAAATCTAGTAAATTTAGAAAAACCTTGTACAAACTTCATTCTTCAATGTCTAAGATATTAAGTCAAAATGTCGAAAAAGCACTGACATTACCCCTGTATTATTCAAAATAAAATGTAGAAAAATCTTTACTTTTTATTTCATTATATTTAGTTAGAAAACAACTATATGGTAGTATTGGATAATAAAATGGTTATCAAATGGTATACCCATTGTAGCTCTATAAACAAGTTAAGGCAGACATTTAAAGGACTGGAGGGGACAATGGTACCATCTTAACATTTTAGGATTGTTTTTCCCTTACAAAATGTTATAATGCTTATTATCAGATAATTTATTTATTGTTTATTGTTTGGCGATGCTGTTCAATTGACAATATTTGTAGAAGTTGCAATGTTAGGGAAATTTATAAATGGCAATTTCAAAATGTTGAGTTTTGCCAACCCCCAGAAATAATGTAAAACATAATCGAATTCTGCAGAAAGGGGAAACACAACTGATTGATCTATTTGCTTTACCTATACATAAAGTATAGAATGGTTTTTCTATAATGCTTTCAATTTACAGTTAGATTAAGATATTTTCCTTACTCAACCTAAAGTTAACTCCCATGTACCATAACATTTTTGAAAATTATGAAAAAAACTTCCTAATCAGATATTCATTAAGATATTTTTGGTAGAATATGGTAAAATGGCTTTGAACTGTAGGATAAAGGGTAAGTCCCAAGTAATGACATTGTAGATGTGTTTCTTCATTTCATTGATTAAAAATGTTTTCAATCAACAATTTTAATATTTTCCTTAATTGTAATTAATATAGTTTAAAGCCATATTATATCAGCTCCATAAACATTATTTTTTGTTATTATATTTATAAGTAATTCATAATTTTGGTAAAATTTTGGTATATTGATTATTTGATGAAAGGAATGAAATTGTAATGCAGAGAAGGCCTTTTTGTAACAGGTATGTGGTGACACCATTTGGTTACTCATCTTTACAATCTACATGCATTCTTCATAATTTTATGGGAAATGACCTCACTTGGTGATATGCAGTAAGACATTCTGATTTATCAGTCTCACTTTATCTACGCTTTGGTGAGATATATTATTTATTCTGTGTTTTTTTCGGATGGATGGTCAGACTGACAGGCTCCACTATACCTGACTCTTAAAACAACTCAGATCCCAAATACTCTACTCGACTGACATTGATATCGAATGAATAGTCCCTCAAAACTTACAAGATGTTACAAGATTTTACAAGATTTACTAGATTTACAAGTTTGACAAGTTTTACAAGTTTTACAAGATTTACTAGATTTACAGTCTACCTGATACAATGGGTGTACCATTTGATAACCATTTTGTTATTCAATACTACCATCCAATACTAAATAAGAAAAATCATAACCAAATATTAAGTAATTGGAGACCCCTCACCATGTTTAATGTAGATTACAAATTATGTGCCCATATTTTAGCTCAGAGACTTCATAAAATATTACCATTATTTTTATCAACCAAGATCAACAGGGCTATATTAAAGGAAGATCTATTAGATACATTATGGCTAATAGATGACATACTTAATTATGCTAATAAATATAGAAAAACATTAGATTCCGCCATTATTTTTGCAGATTTTTCAAAATGTTTTAATTGTTTGGACTTCACTCTAGAAGCATTACAGAAATTCAATTTTGGTACTAGTATTATCAAGTGGATTAAAACTTTGTATAATGGAATACAAAGTTATGTAGCTAATAACCCTCACTTATCACCATATTTTGATGTATCTCGGTGCATACGGAATGGTTGTCCCATTTCTGCTTTGATTTATCCTGAGACTAACATAAAATGGCAATCAATATTAAAATATATAAGTACAAGTGCCAAAGGGAAAGGACCAAAAGTTGTAATGGAACTTAGCAAGAAAAAGCAAACTCTTAAGTGCATCATAAGAAATAATTCTAGAATCAAAGGTATCAAATTAAGAAACAAAGAAGTCAAAATATGTAAACTTGCAGATGACACCACTGTCTTTGTACATGGAAAAACACTATCAAATATGAAATAGTGATCAAAGAAATATAGCGTTTTGGAATAGTTTCTGGTTTAGTGCTTAATTTAGAAAAAACAGAAGGTCTAAAACTTGGTAACTTAAATTTATAAATGATAATAATACTACATTTTGTAATATTTCATGGAAACAGGAAGTAAAATCATTAGGTGTCTAATTTGAAATAAATCAAACTAAATTGCATGATCTTAATTGGAAAAGTATAGCTGATAAAATGAGAAAGTCATTGTATTCTCACGGGTTTGTGTAAAAAAACGGGTGACCAGGTAGCCGGGTGACCGGGTACCCTACCTTCCTACCAGGGTTAGGAATTTGATTTTTTATTTTATGCCTTAAAACTCCCAACTGACATCATAATCAACGTACCAGTGACACATCTAATCAAGCAAACAACCAAACAAGCAACAAAATTTATTTACCAATAAATCAACCGGCAAAACGACAAACAAAATTAATATAATGTCAATCAGTGAGGCAATGAATCAAGCAACTAATGTTGTATTGTACATCGTACACTAATTAACAGATAAAAACGACAAATAACTTCTCAATTGACGCGTACGTAAATCTTCCAGATTTGTTTAAAATCTAGTAGAAATCACCACCATAGAAAACAACCATCGATATCCTGTCAATCACTCAGACAGTAAATCAAGCAACTAATGTCATCGTACGTGTAAACTGTGTAAATAACTACCTATAGGACTTCCGAAATTCAGTCTCTTACAGCTAGGTTCTTGGTAAAATGTTAACGTAAAAATATTGAAGGGTAGTCTACAAATGTGCAACTTTGAAAGTTGGTAACCCTGCAAGGAACGTTAAGTACCCTGTTACCCGGCCACCTGGTTTTTTACACAAACCCTTTTCTCACAGAAAGTTCAAAGCTAATCGTTTTCAACGGTTTACAAATTTTTTTTTACTTTTCAGCATGAATATAGGGTTGGGACCTCAAAACCACAGAATGCCAGAGCGGCACCCTTGGGCAACTCTCTACAGACCATTTTTCATACCCCCCTATTAACATCTACTGGGGGTACTATAAGACACCTTTATATCTCAGACACTAATAAAGATATAGAATTGAAATTTTCAGGAATTAGTTTAAGTATGATGCTTAATCTGTATGGTGAAAGTCAAACCATTGCTATAGCAACAGTGATAGAACACTATTTGTTACCTTAGAAATGTATTATTTTGTGAGTTTTCATCATTTTCTCCATATTCTTGATTCTTAAACTATCTGAAGCACATAGCATGATAAGAAGTGAAGAAGATAAAATAATTTATCACATTATTTATGTAATATGTCTTACATTTCAGTTGCTATGGCAGCATAACTTGATAATCAGGTTCTAACATTTCACTTTCTTAAAAGTATAAAGGTGGTCTAAAATTACATTTATGCTCTCTAGATAAAGAAGTGCTCTTTTATGGTTAAATAGTCACTTAAAAATGTATATCTTGTAGTTGTAAATCCCCTCTCCACAGCCCCCAAAGTTAGATGATTGTTGAAAACTGGAACTTCATTTTCTAGGTTCAAACTCCACGGAGTAGCAAATCCCAACGAACACTATATAAATCATCAATCTGAACAGTCACAATGTAATATTTACCATCTACTCTTACCTTCAATAAATATTTTAGATCATTGTAGTATCATGTCACCATACTTTCAAAACAAATCTAATTAATGGCGAATTTCAGCTCTAGTCAGCCATTTTGAATTTTCAGAGGCACAAATCAGAAAAACAATGCCATAATTGTGATGTAATCTGAAATTCGTTCAATTTGAGTATAATATAGCCATACTTTTAAGAGATCAGAAAATAATTGCGTTAGGCAGCATTAGGCAGCCATTTTGAAATTTTTGAGGCCCAAATCAGAAAAACGCTACAATATTTGAGATCTACTCTAAATTGCCTTTCATTTGAGTATAATAAAGCTATACTTCAAAAACATGTAGGTCATGGGCAAGTTAATCTGTATGTAATGGGGAAGTATGGGCTGGTAATGTGCATGTAATGGGGTAGTATTAGGCTGGTAATGTGTATGTAATGGAGTGGTAATGGGCTGGTAATGTGTATGTAATGGAGTGGTAATGGGCTGGTAATGTGTATGTAATTGAGTGGTAATGGGCTGGTAATGTGTATGTAATGGTGTAGTACACAGAGAGATATTCCAAGTACTGAAATAGTACTCATGGCATTTTAGCGCTTATTGGGTAATCATTTCAGCAAATATTAGTACTAAAGCAGTGGAGCGATTAAGTTCATATTTGATATGTGAATACTCATGAGTCTTGCACACTGTCTCATGACACTTTGGGTAGTAGGCGATCATTTTACTACTTTTTGAGTTACAGTAAAAATGTTAAATAACAAACAAAAAATAGCGTCCCTTTTTCAAAATGGCCACCTTCTACCCAAAATGTCATTAGACATAGAGCAATGCTTAAGGTGGCTTATAATGCTGATTATTTTTTCGTGAAGCCACTCAGAAAAATAACGATTCCTCTGCACCCTGATGTCCAATCAACATCATTCGAGTATCTATGTGTTCCTGACACATTTGGGCATCTGGTTATGACAACATCTGCCCAAAGTTTACACACAAAATTGATTTTCTTTCATGATTGAAGTCAGGAAGACAAAATTATGTGATATTCTTTCAGAATTGATTATAATAACTACAGGGTGGTTCAAAAAATAGGACACTCATATTTGGAAAATAGCTTTTGATTTTCTTGCATCCTCCTAAGCAGGTGTCCAGAATCCATACCTCCTTCTTCCCCCTGCTATAACCAAATTGGAAGCGCCCGATTTAACTGAATCACGTGATCTAATTATGCGCAATTACTAATACATGATTTCTGTTGCAGTGTTGCGACAGCCAATCAAATTTCCGAGTTCTTAATCGGGAAACGATCACTGCTTATTGAAGGGGGTAGAAAGAAAGAATATATTCTGCATTCTGAAGCCCTGTGATCGGATGATGATTTTTTTGATGATAACATGTCATATTATATACCAGTGAATAGGGAATTAACTCATCTTTAATCTGGTATATCATAAGTTCAAATTTATCATAATCTCTGTCAACAGTTTGTATACAGATGTTTAATATGTCCACCATTTTTATGTCCCCACCACATAGTGTGGGGCCATATTGTCCGCCTAGGTGCGTCCGTCCGTCTGTCTGTCTGTCTGTCTGTCTGTCTGTCTGTCTGTCTGTCTGTCTGTCTGTCTGTCTGTCTGTCTGTCTGTCTGTCTGTCTGTCTGTCTGTCTGTCTGTCTGTCTGTCTGTCTGTCTGTCTGTCCATACGTCCGGCAGTTTTCTCCAAAACCGTTACAGATATCACCTTCAAATTATCAGGGATAACCTTTAAGTGTTTACAGATGTGGATGATAAAAATTTAAGTCGATAGCTACTTCCTGTCGGCCATTTTGAAGTCAAATGCTAAAATCCTTATCTGCAAACTTGAAGAAAAATGGCTTCACAGTTGCTTTTAAAACTTTAATATCTTTGTATCATATTGAATGGTGTTTTTGAGTTTTCATACTTTAACTATTTAGTAGCTTTATAAATAATTTCAGGTGTACTTTGTTGTAAAAGCCCATGTTATTGTTAACAGTGGGTATATGTGACAATTTTGTAAAAGGAAATCAGCAAAAACTCATAATCACTTTTTTATTGTCGGCCATTTTGGATTTTTCCGTCCTAAAATCTTGTATGTAAAGTCTTGTCTGTGCGTTTTCAGGTGAATCGTTTGGTAGATCAATTTCAGAGATGATTCTTAGTATGAAAATATAGATCTGATTAGTTTTTTGGCATTCAGGGTAAATGTCAAGGCAGCCATTTTGGATTTTCTGTCTTAAAATCTTGTCTGTAAAGTCTTGTCTACGCATTTCCAGGTGAACCGTTTGGTAGATCAATTTCAAATTTTCAGGGATGATTCTTCGTATGAAAATCTAGATCTGATTAGTTTTTTGGCATTCTTGATTAATGTCAAGGCAGTCGGTAAAGTCTTGTCTACTTATTTTCAGGATAACCATTGGATGGGATCACCCATTGGTGGGGACATTTTGTACACATTTGTGTTCTTGTGTAATTGTAGCCCTCAATTCTGGCCTTAATTTGCCAATAGCATCATTGATATGCTGTTGAGATAATGAATTTCCTTTAATAATTCTGTCCTTAAGGGACTTACTAGATCTTAAGGATTTATGGTATACCAACTCTGTCCGTTCAGTCCTCCTCATACATGGTAGTCGCAGATGTTGGGAAATAGGGTGATCTTGGCGAGGCAGTGATTTAGGGGGAGGAATCTAGGCACATTTTACCTTAATCAGTTAACACTCTTGTGAGATCTATTGCTTGGAACCCCATCTTGTTGGAATGTGTAATGATTCGAAAATGACTTCATATCAGGAAAGTCCAAAAACAACATAATTGGATCATCCGATGTCAACATCTGCGACTACCATGTATTTGGAGAACTAACAGAATTGGTTTACCATGAACCCCTTAGATCTACTTAGTCCTTTCTGGACAGAATTATTGAGAAGTATAATTCACTGTCTCAACAGCATGTCAATGATGCATTCCCTATCCACTGGTATATAATATGACATGTTTTCCATCAAGAAATTCAATATTTATTTTTGAAATATGAGTGTCCCATTTTTGGACCTCCCTGTATTTTCAAAAATGTTCCCGAGACACAAATCCATTAAGGTAAGGTTTGTTTTAAAGTCGGAAAGCCCCAATAAGACAATACAAAGCCAGAGAATTAAACACAATCGATTCCTCAGCTAGCGAGTGGAATCCCCATTGAATTACACAGGCGCCCACAAGCGCCTTGAACCAGGCCACCAATCAGGTTTATGATAAATAAATTCAACGACCAATAAAACAACAGGAGGACTTCCGCGGTATATTCAAACTTCAGATTGAATTCATTTCTTCGAAAATAATTAGATCGGCCAGCACAATCGCAAAATTAACGCTGATAGAGGGGGATTTGGAACTTCTTCTTTGGTAAGTAGATGGGTATATATGTGGTGAAATGCAAAAAAGTCCAGAGGGGTCTTGATTGTGTTGTCCTATAGCATAGAGCTTCTTTAAAACATATTACTATTACAGTTTTATATGCATTACCTAAATTACTGTAAAAGAGGTTCTAAAATGGCTGCCATTTTTTAACCAGCTGCCATTGTGCCTTAAAAAACGAGTTCATTGTCTTGCAAAAAATGTTCTTAAAAAAGCAATTTTTATATCACACAAGTTGTTTTTGGGAATATCTAGGATCACCTAACATCTAAGATCATCTCTGATGTAGTGTTAAAGTTCCATGATGATCACATCCAGAATAAAAAAGCAATGTCCTTCTAAAAAGCTCTCCTTATCAGGGGTTCTCCTTAGCAATTTTTTGCCAATTTTCATACCATGAGTGCTAATTTAGCTTGGCATATCTGCCTGTGTAAAGGGCTGGTAATGTGTAGGTAATGGTGTAGTAATATGCTGGTAATGTGTATGTAATGGGCTGGTAATATGTAGATAATGGTGTAGTAATGAGCTGGTAATGTGTATGTAATGAGATGGTAATGGACTGGTAATGGTGTAGGAATGGGCTGGTAATGTGTATGTAATGAGATGGTATTGGACTGGTAATGGTATAGGAATGGGCTGGTAATGTGTATGTAATGGTGTAGTAATATGGAGCTTACAGTGAAGGCATGTTGCGGCTATGTATGGGTAATGTGCAAGTTAGGTGTTGGTAATGTGGCATTAAAAATATGTCTATAAGTCCAAGATGCAGAACTTCCATATGATATATAGAAAGCAGAATAAGATATATAGAGATGAAGCGTTGCAAGCCACATGTACAAATAGTCAAGTTACTTACTGATCTTTTTCTAAATCATCAATTTAAAAAGTCAAATACATCTATTATAAAGTGTAAAAGACCTGTGAAAACTTTTCAATCCTTTAAAAAACACCAAAAGATCTTGTTTAAAAATCAAGAAAGTTTTATTAGCACTTCTAAACTCAATCTGAAAAGATTTCATGAAATTCTAATTAACAGATTTAGAGCCGATCTTCTTTTCAAAGCCCAACTTTATGCACATAATTTCACATATATTGATAATCCAAATTGTAATTGTGGAGCTCCTCAGACTGAAAAATACTTTTTCTTTCAATGTCCTCTCATCTAAGAAAGTAATACCAAATTAAAAACTGATATTATGGATACAACTGCAGGGCTGTCAACTTGGGACCACCGAATATGAGTGACTTACAAATGTTGGACACCTAAGTCCAAATCTGAACACTTTTGTCCAAATTTTGAACACCTTTGGCCAACTTTTAAACACCTTTGGCCAAAGTTTGAGCACCTTTGCCAAACTTTGATCACCTCAAATTTCGCGGGTTCTTCAGACAAACACTCAACTCAGAATGATCTGCTTTAATGAAACATGGTTCTGAAAAATTTTCCCTTGATTTAAATTCAAAACTCCAAACCTTAATTGCTGATTTCATTGAAACAAACCTATGAGCTCTTTCCCCTCCTTAACAGTATGTTAAATAATTTTTTCCACAGAGATATGTCCACCACATGGTCAACCTCAAGTGCAGTATTAACCCATTGACCTTATTCATATTGTATTTGTATAATCTGACTGTACCCTTCTATAATGCCATTGGGCGATTGAAGGGATGTATAATGTAACATTTTGTAATAAAATAAATTTATCTTAATGAAAAAAGAGCCCATAATTGATCTTTCATCCCAGCTCATATTCAACACTTGTGGAACTGTGCCTGTACTAATATCTGCTGTTTAATACAGTACCTATTACAATCATTATTGACAGTTATAACTCTTCTCACAGAATATGCCTCTTAGTATCAAAGCATGTTTCAGGTGAAACATAAAGATCTTATGAGTATGAGAATGTATGCATATTCTTATCTCCGAGAGAATGTGATATACTTATAGGTGAGGAACCTCAATAGCAAAACCGTCAAAGGGTCATGTGCAGTATGGCAAGTGATTTTAGATAGTCATATCTTTCACCATGAGTACTTTCTGGCCATAAATACAGTGGTTTCTATTTAAAAAACAATATGTTTTATTTCAATTGAAGTCCCCATGATAACTTGACAACAGCAACGCCAAAGCGTAGCAAATCCCATCATATTTACAAAAAAGTATATAGCAAAAATGGCAGCCATTTCTCAAACTAGCCACCTTCTACCAATAGTGTCATTAGACAGTGTGCCATGCTTATAGTATTCACATACCAAATATGAACAAAATCGCTCCACTACTTTTTGAGTTTTTGGCCATTTTTTAAAATTGGTATGAAATGATATGAACATATTTCTCATATTGTTGAGAATTCTATTAAAGAACAGTGTCGCCACCCTTTGAAAGAAAATATAAACAAAGCTGAAAATCTTGATCACCCATAATTTATGGGTAACACATAATTCACACATAGTCACTAACCATGTTTAGCCCATAACCTTTACCTATGTTAAATTATGAGTATATCATTGTTATAACATGTAGGTTTTAACCATAACTATCGCTTATGGGTAACACTATGGGTAACACTATGGGTTATGGATATATAAACCATAAATGACCTAATGAATTACCATTATTATGGATAACACTATGGGTAATACACATAACTTTTTTCCTAAGGGAACACCAAAGCAATACAGCTATGTCACAACTACATTTCTCAGTTGATGTCACTACCAGTAAATGTCCCTACATTTCTCAGTTGACGTCACTAGCAAAACAATACATGTCATATGTACATTGTAATATTATCCATCACACACAACTCATGATGTCAATGCAACTTTACTTCTGTCTTTATTCTGTGTATTTGCCTCCTCAGGGTCATGACTAGGTGGGGCTGGTGCACTGTCAATGTTAATACCCTGGGAAGATTGGGCTTGAGCAACACCCCCAGGCTTTGTAGTATTTGTTAACACCATAGGTAATGATTTTCCATGAGACATAACCGGCTGTTCAAACTCAGGTTCATCAAATTCATCTCTAGGAGTTGGCTTTTGGTTGATGTTAGGGTTAGAATGGGCTGCATGTTTGGAATTACTGCCGGATTTGGCCTCACCATTCTTCCAGACGAGGCCTTCTCCAACTTGTAGAGCTGGTCCTAATTTAGCAGACACCTCAGCCCACTGAAAAACAAACTAATTTAGAAATACTCATCTCTAGCTCAACTATTCAACTTTTTCTCAAATGCAGCAGTCGAGCTTCTAACAGGCAATAAAGGATATTAATTTTGTAATTAGTGTTCTACTATCTGAAATTCTTTTCTGTTCTAAAAGTATTCCATTCTGAAAGCCTGTATAAGTTCTGTTCCAAAGTTTTTCTTTGTTTTGCCCCATCCCTATAATATTATCTTTTTAGGCACCTTTTATAAAAATTTGAAAATATGTTCAGTGTACCTCTTGATCACATTCTTGAGGGTGACTTGCACGGAGATTTTTGAACTTGTGCTCGAAATGTGCAAATTGCTTGGCAGCTAGCTTCCTCTCCCCTTGGTTATATAGAAAGACAGCATAATTTAATGGCACGCTTGGGTCTTTCCTGTAAAATAAATTGAATGTTTATTTTTCACACAATTAACAACCTGTTAATATACTTTACTCCCCAGGGATCTAGAATGTTAAGATTCATAACAGTCTGGTTTTATTTTCATAATCTTCTTATTATTGCGTTCAATATTTCAGAAGGATGAAGGGGACACCAAGAGACTTACTGATCCAGTTTGACAGCTTCTTCATAAGCATTTGTGGCATTGTTGATATCTTCTAGGTGTGTCAGGGCAACTGAAACATAGAACAGCAATTTTAAGGTTAAGATGTATGTGTGAGTCTACAATTTACTAGATATAGTCAAAAATGTACTGTTGATTACATATAACGGAACCAAAGGAAACAATTACAAGCATACACATAAAACAGTTATATATCAGGATAATCGGGCAATATCAGTGGATATGGCCCGCTAACTTTCCCTTTAACTTCTATGCAAATGCTTCGCTAGGTATGTAATATTTGTAATAATAGCTATCTACTCACTCGCAAGCAGCATGAAGAGTTGTCCATACTTGGGCCTAAAATTGATTGCTGCGCTGAGGAAGTGGAATGCAGAGGCATACTGCTGCATTGTAAGATGTACGAGACCAAGGTTGTATAAGATCTTCCAGTCAAATGGAGCTAGATAGTTTGCCCTTTTCAGACAACTGATTGCCTACAATATAATACAGAAGGTTGTATAAGATCTTCCAGTCAAATGGAGCCAAATAGTTTGCCTTTTTCACCCAACTGATTGCCTACAAAGTAATACATTCCTTATTAAGGTTTTTACTGTTTTGATCTCTTAAATTGGTAGAAAAAAACACAGATTACAGTAGCATTTTCATGATTATTATCAACATTTCATCAATGTTTTATCAAATTGATCAACTGAATAAGTCATGGTTCACAAAACAACATAGCTCACTGCAACATATTTCTTCTTTCCGAAAAAGCACATGCCAATATTATTCCACAATGGCGGACTTTCTGGAGTCTCTACAGCAGCAATCCTGTATTTTGTGAGTGCCACGTCAAAGTCTCCGTGAGATTGCATCATGCTACCAGCAGCCAGAATAGCCTTGACATGGGTTGGGTCATACGTCATGGCATTGCCAAGATGCTCAAAGGCCTTCTGGTAGAATCCACCCTAGTACAAAAGACAGAAACAAAGAATGATTCATTTACTTATCCAAGGTACAACAGCAGTCATGAAATACTTGATGTCTTAATTAAAATGGGCATTTCCACTTTAAGTGGTGCCGGCCTTAAGCTACCCGACCAGAAGAATGAATGCACACACACCCATCAGTATTAGAGTATGACAACATTTTCCCCACTTTTTGATCTATTAGACATTGATATGATCTATATATGATAAGGGATAAGGAATTCAAAACCCTCCAATAAAAAGACCCGCATTGTATAGTAAGAACCCGAGTGTGTTACCTGCATATAAAGTAAACCTAGTGTTGTTAAAAGTTCAGGATTCTCCGGTGAAAATTCCACCGCACGTTTGAATACATCTACTGCCATATTGATGTCATCCTGCATCAGATAGATCTTTCCAAGTGTTGTAAATGATAGATCATTACGGTTGAATTGGATGGCTTGTTTTAGGTACTCTTTTGCCTTAAAAATATTTTCAAAAAGGTCTCATTTTGATCCAATTTATGATACAAACATGATATTAGCGCTTCTTTCAATATTTCTAATGATGTAGAAAAACCAAATACATAGTATGAAGATGAAAAAGATGATACATAAATCTATAAGACTAAATAGTTAAAATTACAGAAATACTCACTTTTTCAAGATCCCTTAGGTACATGTAACAGACACCAAGATTGTGAGACACCTCCCAGTCTTTCTCTACCATCTTTGCAGCTTCATTGTACACATCAACTGCAGCTTTATGACGAGCAAGTAAAAACCTACAAATATTTATTGAATGGAGTGACAAGGCATTCGCATGATATAACAGCTAGTCAGACTAAATGGTTGATTAGCTTGTTACAAAGAGGAGAATGCCACAGAATTCCTAAATGCACCTCCTTGTATATATCCCCAGGGTACAGATGAACCTCTAGACCTACAAAAGCAGATTTATTTAAGAATTCTTGGGTAGGCTATTCCAAACTCTTTTCTGCCCTAAAATTATGGAATGACAACATTATCACCAATATCTGGCATGATTTCAACATAATTGTAAACTTACAATGATCTTGCGACTTGTTTCAAGTTGTCAACACTGTTTGGGTTGAGCAGCGTACATGTTTGGAAAAGTTCCAGAGATTCTTGTATTTTACCTTCTTGCCTCAGGATCAGTGCTGGAAATCATGGAGTAATACGAGTTAGAAATACATGTATATATGTCTGTGGTTTGATAAAACATAAAGTTGGTGCAATAACTTCTAAAATATGGTATATTTTGAGTTATCTAATCATTTTTGAAAAACAAACTTTCCCAGGCACAAGATTTTCAGCATTTTTAACAGTTATTAAAATGTAAATGTTTTTATATAATGATATTTGGGTATAGTGACATCAAGGCATGTGGTACAGTGACATCAAGGCATGTGGTACAGTGACATCAAGGCATGTGGTACATTGACTAACAATAGTCTGGAAATAGAATTGCTACTTAATAGTCTGGAAATAATCATCTCCCAAGTGGTAACTTTTGGAGAATATTACCTTGGACATACACTGCATATTCACACATTCCATTTGTCTCAGAGAGTTGTTCCTTCACCAAGGCTTTACACGTCTCAAACTCCTTGCGTACATAATGCAGATGGATCAACCAGTTACGTCGTTCGAAGATTGGTAGCTCAGGAGCTAAAAAGCATAGCATTCAAAAGCAAAATGTTAATGTGATAAACAAACTAAGCTGCTTATTTACAATACCTTTCTTTCTGCATTACAACACAATCTGAAATGATCTCATTGAAAGAGTCAGTTATTAAAAGTGAACAGAGGAGAGATATATTTATTACCCGTTAATGTCCATGAATAACATGTTACAATTGTATTAGAATAAGTTTCTAATTCTAAATAAAGTTTCCAATTCAAGACATTCAGTAGGCACGCCTTAACACTTATTGAATTATACTCATATTACATGTACTTAAAACATTAATCAAGGTTGTGATCAAACAACTCAATTTAAAGGAAATTCAGAATATGTCAGATTAAAAGTATGTTGGAAAAACACCTCATAATTACAATGTCAACATTAAACCATTGATTGTTCATCTTGAAAACTGAATATGATGATTGGTCAATCTTGAGTATGATGAATAACTGTTAAAAATCAAAATCAATGGTCATCTACCTTTCTTAGGTCTTGTAGGCTTAGGGGGTGGAGGTGGAGTGTCATCTGGCAGTGGCTCCTTCACACTATCTGGACTCAATGCCTAAAATGAAAGCTACTAATTATATGGGTATGAAATTTTGTTTGATTTAACAAAAAATATTCAAAAAATTAAAACAAAACCCCCCAAAATATATAAAAACTAAGATAAACCTTAAATTTCATTAACAAGATACATGTACTTTTTCAAATCAACCAAACTTTCCTTTGTATAATTACAATATTGAGAGACATAAACACGTTTTCCAATGAGGTTCAGATAGATGTTTCATTTCGAACATATGATACCAAGAACAAAAGAAGTGTTTGATGTGTTTTCTTAAACAATATAGAGCAAAGGAAATATATCTATTTCAAATTATACCGTTACCATATCGATACCATATCGATACCAATCCCTAACAAAGAACAATAGATATATAGACAAGTTCAATAGTTTTCAAATGTCAAATGTCTTTGTGACACTTACAATTATGACCAATTATGAAAGTGTCTTTGTGACACTTATAATTATGAAAGTGTCTTTATGACACATAATATTATGGAAGTTAATGTTTTGAAAAGAGACACATAAATAGGTCTACTGTAATATGGACTACATCAAAATAAAAATAAAGATTGAATATTCATAATTTTAGAATATATGTAGTTGCACTCTGTGCAACATTCTCTTTTTCTGGTTTGGTTTTGCACATGTGCATCATATGAATGGACTTCATTTCCATCGTTCTATGCAGTTTCCTGATAGATTTGAATACTGGGTATAATGTGAGAATCTCATACACTTGAAGTGCCATCTTAATATGAAAATATAGTTTTAAGGTACAGCTGGAAAATAACATTTTGGTAAAAAATTGCTATACATGCACCTGCACATGTTATTTTCTGGTACACTATAAAGTATGAAGGCATGTCTTAATTTCCTTGCTTTTTTCAGGAAATTATCATTACATTGTCTTCTTTTAGTATATCTGGCAAGAGGTCAATGGGAACTCCAGGAAATTCTGATATTTCACACTTTCTTTTTTTCCAAATTTTCTTTCAAAGTTTCCAGACAACATAGGAGCTACCATTGACCTGTTTCCAGGTTTACTAAAAGTAGACAATGTAATGATACTTTCCTGAAAAAAGCAAGGAAATATACACATGAATTCATACTTAATTTTGTACCAGAAAATAACATGTGCAGGTATTGCAATTTTTACCAAAATGTTACTTTCCAGCTGAACCTTGAAAAGAAAATTTGGAAAATAGAAAGCGTGAAATATCAGAATTTCCTGGAGTTCCCATTGAACTCTCACCAGACTTACTAAAAGAAGACAATGTAATGATACTTTTCTGAAAAAAGCAAGGAAATAGACTAGATGCGAGTAGAAATAATCTTGATTTACGTCATTTAATATTCAAAATTCGTCTAGAAATATGATTTCTAAAATTGTTTATCAACTTTGAAAATTAAATTTTTTTGAAAGTGTGACTCCTCGCTCGGGTTGATTTCCTATAGACCTAATGTTACAAAATCACAAAAAGTGGAATATCTTTTCTTGTATTGGACAGATAACATTTTCTTTTACTGGACATATTCTAATTTGCATAACTATTAGATACATAAGGGTAATATGAAAATTGAACCACTAAAAGAAACGCAATTTAATTTAAATGGAACTTTCTGCTATACCCGCCATGCTATCTGACCCGAATGAGCCATCTGGTGGTGAAACTGGTAACTACCTACTCACATCTGCATTATTAACACATATGTTAAGGTTTAATGCTATCATGGACTTTCAACAGATTTGTAGTGTGACACAGGTACTTTGGTGTATTCAGGGCTGAAACGAAACTCCCATTGAACGTCCTCTACACGTAAGGAGCATAAGGCTATTTCATTATTATGTGGACTTAAACATAATGTTTGAAGTGAAAGAATTCATATTTTCATATTTCTGTTTATTTGAAGAGATATCGAAATGTATCTTTGCATTACACAAATGCGCTTCTTGCAAAAATAAGTGAACCTTTACATTTGACAGACAGTTAAGGTCAGGGTGCATGATGGGAAATTTTCTGCATTCCTCAATTGAGTCACATGTTATTTTTCTAACAAGAATCCCTCCTTCCTTACATTGTCTATATCTTCCAGTTTTGCACAAAGAGTGCACTTATGCATCATGATATACCATGACATCTCATTTCTTCTCAGCCCTGAGATGCCATGATATAATGAGCTTGATTTGGCGATCCGGGAGAGCCCAAAATTGAGGATTTTTGAGATCTTTCATCCCAGCTCATATTTCATTTAATTGGGGTCATTAAACTTGTGTACACGTACCTGTGCTAATATCTGATGTTAACTACAATGCCTATTATGTAATATATTGACATTACATAAGGTAAATGATTACATGATAACTATCACACTTATTGACAGTTATAACTCTTCCCATCTGATGTGCTCAGATCACAGAATATGCCTCATAATATCAGAGCATGTTTCAAGTGAAACAGAAAGATGCTATGAGTATCAGAATGACACTTATGTGCCTAGAAAAGACTTGTGAGAAGAATTTTTGGATAAAATGTATAAAAAACAAGAAAATTCTGTGAAAAATTCAGAAATTTTTTTCACTGAATTTTCTCGTTTTTTATACATTTTACAAAACAAATCTTCTCACAAGGCTTTTCTAGGCACATACATGTAAGTGCATTCTTTGTGCAAACCTGGAAGATGTAGACAATGTTGGGAAGGAGTTATTCTTATTTGAAAAATAACATGTGACTCGATTGAGGAATGCAGAAAATTTCCCAACATGCACCCTGTCCTTAACTGTTATTAATTGACTTTTAATTAATTGACTCTATCGATGCAAACCTGATTCACCGATGCATGATGCACCGAGGAATGCATCTGTCGGCGCGTTAAGCTTGCTGATCAACGCATCATTTAAATGTGCCACGATGCAGCTCGGTGCGCCAATGTCGTACCAATGCACCTTTCGATGCACCTTTCGATGCACTGAGGTAAGATGGCCGGAGTGACCTGAACTGAAGCAATTTTTCCCAAAATGTTATTTTCCAGCTATACATGTACCTTAATATTTTTTGTCGATAGTTTATGAAGCAAAATATGAGGTGAGAGAAATACAAACTCATGAAAACTGTGTCATTGTGCAGTGTGAGAAATAAGCACCGGTCAACGGACAAATGTGGAGTCTGAAAAGAAATTTGTCCAGACTGTTTCAAACTGTGTGGTCAAAATTGTCCAGATAGATTTTGCTGAGACATGGGAAAATGAATTTTGTTTTACACATCAAATAAAAGAATATAAATTGGCCTTTTGTCGACAAATAAAACAATGCAAAATATAAAATTCAATGGTTAACAATTTCAATCATTTTATACCCCCTCCCCTCTGTTTCTATGCACATATTTTTTATTTTTAATACATTGACCAAGTACAAAAAATTGTCCAGTGTGTTTTCAAACTGTCTGGTCAAAATGACCAGTCAAAAAAGAATTTGTCTGGAGTGTTTCAAAGTGACTGGACAAATTTGTCCAGGCACAAAAATGCTTATTTCCCACAGTGACAACTCATCATCATCATCATCATCATCATAAGGACGTAGTGGACTAAGCCAGTGATGTCGTCCTCTCATTACTTAAGCCACCTGGCTTCTCATTTCATTGAACAAGACCAAAACAAAAGAAACCTATAGCATATAGTGCTCCCTCTTCCAGTGATCATCCATCCTCGTCTTAAAGGTTTCCAGGGTTGGCGCACATACTGCTTTCTCAGGCAGGCTGTTCCAGTCTGCTATCACTCTTTGGGAGAAGAAGTGCTTTCTAAGATTGAGCCTAGATCTTTCCTGGTATAGTTTAAAGTCATGCCCTCTTGTATATCTCACTGTTGACTGATTAAAGAATATTTAATTATGTTTCTTAAAGTGTTCGAATGTTCATGAATGCTATCAGAACCAGAGACCTAGATCTAGATGTACATGATGTACAAGGCTATTGTATGCTAGGCAAAAATCCACAGATGGCAGAAGTTTTACCAGAGAATACCTATTAGGCTTAGTGGTTTTTCCCAATAACAATTCTGCCATCTTTGGAAAAATCACATCATGACAGTTACTGAGTCAGCCTAGATCTACAGTTCGCCAGTCGAGTAAAATTGAAAAGATAATAGTCCAAAGTATTATACTACAGACCTGCTCAACGTTATCATCTGTAGATGCAGCTGACTGTTTATGTCGATCATTCTGATTATTTTCTGCCATAATTTTTAAATCTTGTAAATATTTCAGACCAGGGGCAAGCACCTAATTTTCTGACGTCATTCAAAACATCGCCATATTCAATTTCGTTATATGAGCGTATTATCTATATAAATCTTGTATATCATCAATTGTAGTAGAACTATAAATGATTACAAAGTAGATTTTTGTAGAATACTATTGTGGTAAGTAATATATATTCATCACAATAAGTGCGTCGCCAAAATATAAACCCCTGCTCATGACTTGCCCAAAATTTTTTATTGCTTGACATTTACACATTCAGTCCGTATAGCTTGGAGATCATTACAAAATCGTGAAAATGGTCATGTTGACAGAAGACCGCTTTGAACCTCCTTCTATGACGGAAGAAGACCCCAACCAGAACGGGGTAGGTGAGACAAAAGATGGGACAGCTCGATGGGGACCTCAGCACGCTGGAGCTAAGGAATTGGCAAATCAGTACACTGCAGGTGAGTGGATAACATTTTCAAGAAAAAAATTCCAAATCCAGGAAGTGGTTCACTCACACTGGTTCAAAATTATCCCGTTCCCGGACTATGGTCCTGTACGGAGCCCATACATTTGCCTGTACGATTACAACATGGGAGAATTTTTTACTGATCTTACACTTCAGATACCTACTTCAATAGATTCCTTGGTAATTTAGCATTCTTTTCGTGTAGTTGAATCCACAATTGTCTGGGTTAATCGGCAGAACGAAGACATTTTCGTTTTTGATCGCAATATTTGCGTGTAACATTTAACCTTTTTCAACCGTCAAATTCCTCCATATTGGTACTTCCGGGCTACATCCGGGACAGCCAAACGGGGGATTCCCCGTTTAAATCCAACCGCCATTTTGAAAAGTGATGGAATCTCTCTCGATGAAAAAGAGAAAATGTTCTCGTTCTACCGATATACCCAGACAATCGGCGGTTCCAATATATTAGAAGTTACATCTTGAGTTCTATAATGCATTGAGGTAGGTATCTTAAGTGTAAGGGGCGTAGATAATTCTCCCAAGTTGTAATCGTACAGGCAAATGAATGCGATCAGTGCAGGACTATAGTCCGGGAACGGGATAAGTTCAAACCATCTCCAGTTACAGTTCATTATGGTCTTCCTCGCTAACAGCAATCAGTCAATGAATCGATTGTGTAGCAACTCTACCGTATTTCAACTTTGACTTATGGCCCTATTCTAAGCCCATATTGTACATGTATACAGTTGGGGACATAAATAAATGACAGGTGGATTTGCTGAAGTGAGGATTTCCCATGTTAAAAATAAGAGAATTTACAAGAGGCCAATAGCCATACATCAGTGGATGAGATTATACAAAATGTAAAATATACACATTTTAAGGGATATATATCTAGACAATATTGGAAATTATGGGCTTTCAGACCACCATAATTAGGAAATGGTGATCGAAAATCGACCTGTCATTTATTTTTGTCCCCAACTGTATGTACATGTATGGTCTTACGCTGATCTAGACGTGGAAGCCCGCCTCCAGTGACTTTTTGACTATAGGAGTTTAACTATGGTCACTAGGGGTTGTGAAAAATCTCAGATATATAAATAAAGCCCCAGAGCCGCATTAATGCACCTTACTCGAGTCTCTAGAGGTAATTTCATCTGGAACACCGTGAACCATTTGAAAAAAGCTCCTTGATGAGATATTGCATGATTTCGTCAGGATTTCGTCAAAATTAAAATAAACTGCTCAAGGAAAAATGGCGTTATTTGAAAACTGGACGAAATGTCGTTATTGTCTGACATTAGTAACTGGCCGTAAGTTCAGCTCTCAAAGCGCTGTGACAGCCCACCGGAATGTACCATGCAAATAAGGCTGCGACAGCGCTGTCACAGCATTGCCATATATGGCATTGATTATGCATCCTTCATACACATAAATTTTAATAACCTATAGCCTATAAATTTACATATCTTTAAAACGTTTCAAGATATAAATTTCAAATTTGGCATGGAAAAAGTAGGTTCTAGGCTAGTAATAGAAATCAAAATTAAAAAATAACTGTTACATCGTACCAGTCACACTGTTAAACCTTGCCAGTCACTATTTACTGCTGCGACAGCGCTGTCACAGCTTTTATTTTCCGTAAGGGTTTCCAAAAATCAAATTGTTGGCAACAATCTGAGCCATCAAGGAACACAATCATCGTGGGTAATATTTGTATACAATATTCGCCACATTTGTTCACCAGTTTGTTTTTTCTTTTATAATAGCTCAAAGTCTTACAGTAGAACTAGGAACAACCCAAGATTGTGTTTTAAAGTGGTGTGCAGGTTTAAAGACAAAAAAATTGAGTTGAACTTCAAATTGTTTCATGATTCAATTTTAAAAATTCTTTTGCCCTTGCGAATCACACCAATCTATTCTTATAAGTATTCTAATATCATTAACCTAATATCATTTACAAGGTAAAAATACATAATTGTATTACAATGTATATACAATTTTACATATGTTATTGAAAAAAAAACAGCTGTTCAAGTTCATTCAATAGCTGAAGTGATATCACTATAACAAACAAATACTTGACCATTTCACTTGATATACAGTGAACATTGTACTTTTGAACTTTTACCACTACTTCTAATCAATGCATAACTTAATTTAAAATAAATTATGATGACCTTGACCTTGTGTACAGGTATATGGTGACATACTTGTAGATTTAGGTAACAAATATTATATTTTTGATAGGCCCTTAATGCAAAGTACGTACATGATAAGAGAAGCTGAGAATAGCTTAATTTTGTTTTATGACTAATTTGGATCCTAAAATACACAAAAATTAAAAAGTAATAAAGGTTAACCTGTATCTTGCACTATCTTGCCAGACTTTGTCAACATTCTTTTCAGTAAAAGTTACATCTCAAAAAAAATTGTTGAAAAGGTGATGGATATATTGCCTGAATTCGAAATTATAGGAAAAATACAAACATATTTCAAAAATCAAAACTTTGAAAATGTTTGTTTTGTTTCAAAATTGTTGGTCCTTGAAAATGTGAATTCAAATTGAACATTATGTCCCCACCAGAAGAAGTAACGTCATAAATGTTAATAATCTCCCAACTTTTTTTGTGGATAAATTAGTGGTGTTTTGAGGTTGGAGTTTTGTGTCTAAAAATTGCAGGTGGTGACATTTTGCATGTTTAAATGCCTTGTCACAAAGAACAATCAGAAATATGTATTTTATCCTTGTGATTTCAACTTCTAAGCCATGGTTAGGTCTTAGAAACAAAGCTCAATAAAAAAGAAAATGTATTATAATATTTTAATCATGATTGGTCAGATATGGATATTCCAGGTACATACATAGAAATCACTGTCAACTGTTTTGCATATACTGTAATATATCCTATCCATAATAAGTTTTTATCCGTTTGCTTAATTTCACCCAGAAACTAACATCATACAAAACTAAAACATTTTCCCCTCTCTTAAACTACTGTATGCCCGGTATTATTCGCGAGCTTTAATTTCGCGAATTTTGCGAAAAAAAAACGGTTTCGCGGCTATTAAATTTCGCGAATTTCACAAGTTTGAAATTCATTATTCTCGGAATTCTCAAGCTAAATTACTAGTCATTTTTTTTTCTAGGAACATCTTTGAAAGTTTTCAATAGACTGGTAACTCTGGAATTGGACTTCATGTTATCTTTTGCAATTTGCACTTCATTTGCAATGATGTCATCGATATCATTATTGGGCCTACTGGTGGTACTGGGCCGAATCAGCCAACGTAAAATGGACATTACTGAAGTCCTGAAGATCGTGGATATCCAATTATCGCCCAATAACACTAGACGAAACGTTTACACAAAACGAAATGCATCAGAGCCCCAGGTAATAACAAATTCCCGGGGATTTAATTGGCAATCGTGACGATAATTTTTCGCGATTTTAACACCATCGCGAAAAGCGAGAAAGTTAATCGCACGCGAATAATACCGGGCGTACAGTATTCATCTAGTTTTTTACAGAGTCTGTTAGTATTTAGACAACGTATGTATTTTGAAACTGTCCCTAATATGAAGTAATATACATGTATATTGTATAAGTGTAAATAAATATGATCAGTTGTATAATTATATGTACATTGAACTTTGTCCTCATGTATAAGTTCATGTCCATGTACGTATATATGACATACATCTATTATATGTTCATTGTTAGATAGATCATATATAATAGTCTTTTGGATATGGTCTCATGTGTATCACTATCATGAGCTTATCTTGTGCCAGAACTCCAGTCCTAAGAATCGTTTGTCTGTATGATTACAACATGGGCGAATAATCCATGCCTCTTACACTTAAAATACCTACCTCAATAAATTCCTTAATGTTTCTTGGTAAATCCGTACTCTTGGATGTATGTAAATAAGGGAATTATTTTCCCATTTTGTATTCGTACACTGCAAAAGATTGGGACATTCTCAGGACTACAGTCCTGGCACCAGATTAATATGAGCCTCATGAAATCTTCATTCCAATTCATTCACTACATTATAGTAGTTGTACCAAATTAAGTGGTTGAATGCCTGGGGTAAAGTACAGCACGAGGGTGATGAAATTTGAGCAAACTGATGTTTCCATTGTTTCAGAAAGATCTGATCTAGTTTCTAGATATTTATATATGTGCATGTCTGTAACAATATCCTTGACAGTAAACAGTGAATTTCATAGTTAAACCTAAACAAACTGCAAATATAGTATACAGTATAACGCGCAGGTCAATTTACCTGAGATATGGTATAACCCAAATTCAGTTTCCTTATGTTGTACCTAACACATGCAAATTACATTGGGCCCCGTACAAGCCACGAGAATTACGAGTCATTATGGGCAAAAAGGAGCTCATACGGGGCTCATTTTCGAGGCCCGTACTAGCTCATACGATGCTTGTAATTGTTGTTTTCATGGCCGGTATGAGCATGTACGAGGCTTGTTATTTCAAGGCCCTTAACATTGTTATTGTGGAGCAATAAAAAAGACTGAATAAAAGGAAAAATTAAGTTATTTAATTTGTTGCAGGCAAGAGAGCCCAGGAGACAATTTGTGTAGTGATCTCTATAGCTTTAATGGTTGGGAATCTGTACTTCATAGTGAAGCATTTCAACATTGACAACTGGTACATTATTCTCCCAGCTGCCCGTAAGTACAGCATACATTGATATACATGTATAAAGGAATAATGATGAGAATAAGAATCAAATATAATTAAATGTAATTCATGACATTGATTTTGAGTCTGTGTGATTGTCATCTTCTTTTATATTCACAGCAATTCACCCTTTTAATCTTTTCAGTTCTTGGTATCGTCACTGCAGACTTCTTCAGTGGAGTGGTTCATTGGGCCGCAGACTCTTGGGGCTCAGTTGAATTACCAATCATTGGAAAGGTAATGCTTCATTCCAGATGTTTTAGATGAGAAAGTGCTTTACACAAGAAATTGATGATGTGCATCACTTATATTTTAGTTATAATGATGTGAATATTTGATTATAGTGTCTTTGTAATGCATACTTCTACATTGTAATATGAGTATGATTTTAAACTAATTGTAGTGAACCAATTGTAGTAAATAACTTAATATCCATGAAAAATATACTGTATGTTCTAAAAAATATTAAATTGAACATTGATCCTTATTTTGTCATAAATTTTCTCCGTTTCGCAGGCATTGATCCGTCCATTTAGGGAACATCACATAGATCCGACATCCATCACACGTCATGATTTCATTGAAACAAATGGCGACAACTTTGCTGTGCTGATTCCTGTAATAGCTAAAATGTTTTATGGCTTTTACACGGGTTCCCCTGAAGAAATAGCTAAGAATTACAACTGGAATTGCTACCTTTTTCTCCTGGCATTCTTCATCAGTATTACCAATCAGGTATGTGTATTATATCATAATAGGGAGGTTGAACATGTTTTAACACGTTACCGAAACGAACCATTTCGGTAACCAGCGTAATCGAGTGGATCACCAGTGCTCCAACTGATTAAAGCAATATGTTTCGTTAAATATGGCACGTATGTGTGTTATGGATGAACTGGCTGCTTAAGTCGTATGTAAGGTTTTGATTACACTTATGGACTAGTACTGTCATATGGTATGAATCTCAAAATATGCAAAATATTCAACAAGTGTACATGTTCTGTAATTATTTTCCAGATTCATAAATGGTCCCATACCTACTTCGGCCTGCCCCGATACATAACAATCTTTCAGGATTTGAACATTATACTGCCACGTAAACATCATCGTGTTCACCATGTAGCTCCACACGAAACATACTTCTGCATCACGACTGGTTGGCTCAATTATCCTTTTGAAAAATTTGGGTTTTGGACTAAACTTGAAGAATTGATTACATTGGCCACTGGAGCAAAGCCAAGAGATGATGATCTTAAGTGGGCCAAGAAAACAAATTAGTCGTTTGAGTCATTAGTACTCAATTGTCTTGAGTGGCTTTAGTTCAAATCTCTGTTTTATAAACATTTGTAAGTGTGAGTAGCTAAGAAAGTTGACTGTAAACTGAAGAGTGAGATTGTTGCACAGGATTAGATAAGACATTTTTATGATTTTTGTGAAGCATGTCATTTTTGGCATTAAGTTTGAATTTTTATCAGATTTGAATTGTGGAAAACTTGAAAATGATTTGATGTCTTATGCGGAAACATGAGTCTTAATTATGTCATTGCCCAAGCATTTACAAGGACATGTTCTTACTCTTGCATCAAGCTTAAGATTTCTCTATGATCCATATCTCCCAAGAAGTGTGAAAAGGAGAATGTAGTAATTCAAAGAATGAATGGGGCTACATTATTGGAGGGTTTTCATGGGAAATGGAGAGGGCAGCTTGGGAATGGAGCCCAGGCAACAAGGGGTGTTAATGAAGGGAAATATCTTTGAGTTGGAGGAGTTACATATGGAATGAGGAAAAGGCATGGAGTGGAACGAAACACAGTAAGAGTTTGATACAAGACTATACTTGTATTTGCATCTTAAGTTGATAACATAAGAGCTTGTTGCAAGACTGTACTTGTATTTGCATCTTAAGTTGATAACATAAGAGCTTGTTGCATGACTGTACTTGTATTTGCATCTTTTCCTTGTGCAATAATTGTGCTGATATACTGAATGTTGTAGCTGTTAAAAATCCATAATATGGCAATCATATTTTTGATTATGAAACATGTTACAATGAGACAGACAAAATGAGCCTTGATATTATTAGTTCCGATCAATTAAAGGCCCACTTTGCGTATTTTCAATGTTTCAATAATAACTTTAACTTTCATTTGACACCAACAACAGCTCAAACGGACCACATCAAAGCTTACAATAATATTCAAAAAATATTTTTGATCTGTCAAACTTTATATATCAAGTTTTTATCATTGTCATTGAAAGATGGCGAAGTTGTTTGTATAACATGATACATTCATTTTTACAGAGGTGTCGCCATCTTTTAAATCAAAAGTAATTTAAAACATGCACTTTGTTTAGCATGTACATGCACTACTAATGATCTCTGAACTTCAAATGCTTTTTTCTATGAGAGTTATTTTTTCTTGGTTCATTATTAAAGCAAATCAAACTTTGTTTCATATTTTAGCGAGTGTGTGAGTAACATGTTTCAATGATTCGTTTTTCTTCTAGATTAAGTAAAGTGGGCCTTTAAATTATGACTTTGTATGTGTATTTAAACTGACTAGACCGTAGTTGTATTATTAAGTGTGAAAGATTGACAGGTTAAGCTCAACAATTTTAGTTTAAAAAACAAAAATGCATTTGATTTTTGTGTCTAAGGGTGTCCAAAAATTAAACTTTAACATAATTTCAAAATTGCAAAAATGCTAAATATAATAGTATCAAATATTAGTTGTACAGTATTCATCTCTCTGTAAATTACTTGACCATATATGAGCCAAGAGATCATATCAGAAAATGTAATGCCATAGGACAAATATGATTTCATTTTATCCCTGCCTCCATTTACAAGTTAAAACTTTTAGATTTTTGAGATTCTTATTTGTATAAACATTATTTAATTAATGGTGCCGGCCAGTTATGATCAGACTGTAAGAAATACAATTATTTGGTTAATATCTTTTGTCCTAACATCTAACATGAAATTACAAGTATCCTTATAATGTTTGTACAAATATTGTAATTTTGATATGATCTGTATAGTGTTTAGTCTCTTGTATCCAACCCCTACTATAACATATACCTTCACAAAGGGATATGTATTTAGTAAGAGAGGCAAACTAGTGACTTAATACAAGACTGTTGTAATTGCCTTATATAGACATTGTCCCTCCATGCTCAAATATGGTATTGACCTGCACCATGACATTTTATAGCTTTAACAGTTTCCATTAATGCATTTATATAATCTTGAGCCTTCTGAGGGCTGATCACCTTTATATCAATGTTGTCTCTGATGCGGTCTTCATCCTTTTAGATTGGTGAAAATAATTCATTAATTGTTTTAGACTATTTATGAATTTTAAAGCAAGGGAAACAAAAGCTTCCAAATCAGTTACAAAAATTTAAATTTACTAAATGTATACAAATATGTTTGATCCAAAACGTATAAACATTAACTGCAAATTTGACATCACAAACCCCAAATGTTTCATGATATATAGTACGTGTATTGTCATTTGTACTGATTATTCATAACTTGATTGTTAGATGAAAGTGGTAATTGGATGAAATCTTGAAATACATTGCAGGAAATATATCCCACCTTCCAGATAACATTAACATCCCTCTGGATATCAGGCTATCCAGATGTATGGGATAAATATCCATAAATCCCACATTCAGCAACTTTACTTTTTCAACATTTCATACCAGGGTCATTCTATAAAATTTGTACAGTTGCATTAATTTCTATGTTTATATGTCATTAAAAGAAGCCTGTTTGTGTAGATCGCTTGACCTGGTTACCAATTACACAATTATATGATATTCATGATAGTAAATTCATAGTAAAGTCATTATTTTGTTATACCATTTATGAGATGGTGTAAAATAACTTGTTTTATTTGTATGGAATGGTATATTATTTAGACTGACTATATGCTAACAAACATTTTTATAGATTAAATGTTGTATATTTTTGAGAAATATTTGTGAATTTGAAGTAAATTGAACTTCCTTTTATTTTGAGCACATTGCCTACAGAATAATATAAAGTATATGAACCCACCGGGAATTGTGGCCTTAGCAAGATGACTGTATTCTTCATGCACAGCAAACTTATGTTAGTAGAACTGGAACCTCAAAATGATCTTCACCTCGGAGGTGTTATATTTAAAGAGGTTATTTTGAATTGGGAACAGGACTGGTAAATGTGATCCACTTGTGGGGGTTTTCATTGACAAAGGTGTTCCACTTTACAAGTTTTACTGCCCGTATGAAGGTATCACCCCCAGTTCCATTGGGCAGTCCATTAGTTTGAGTAAGACTTCAGTATATGTCAGGCATGAAATATATAATAATGTAATCTGACCAAGTTCAACTTTATAATTGTGATGTGCAGCTTTGGAAAATCTATTGGAATTACTGTGACTTTATAAAACATTATACATGTGTCTAATTTAATGTTATTTATTTACTTGCAATGTATATGACCTACTGTATTAATATATGTGGTGTAGAATCAATGTATTCTCTATATCTGTTTAGGTCAATGCCTAATTTAGTATTATTTATGTTTATCTTAGCCTCTACATGAACATTGTATATCATATATCAAAGAAATTTACACAAGACATCTTTGGTATGAGGATCTTGTTGAGGTAGTCCTGTATTCCAGAAAAATTAAATTTTATCATTTAATTGGTGTTTTTGTTTATGTTTACAATTAATTTGTAAATATTATCCACATATACATGTGGAATATATGAGCTATTACATTATTTGGAATCCCTAAAATTACACTAATATTTTGATCATACAGGTGTATCCGAGGGATTGATCTACAAGTTCTGTATGTGGCACCCACCAGTTAGCTATAGTTTTATATGAACAGTTCACATAGATTTACCATGTAATGTTGCTTGCATATGGAGTAATATAGTACTGTACCATTGAAATATATTCAAGTATCGTTCTGTTGTTTTACTTTAAGTTGTGTATCTGTACTACATGTATCTCTTTAAAGAGAGAATCAGATATAGCGAGTAGGCTAAACAAAAAATTGTTTCAATTTTAGAATATTTTTGGTTCATGTCATTCCTTGTCATGTCTATTTTCTAAAAATCACAAAAGCGCATACTTTATTCCAGGAAAACTAAAGATTTTCACAATAATGTATTATTTTTCTATAAGAATGGTTACCATTCTTATTATTTGGGAGAATTTAACATTTTCACTCATTTTTGCGCTTTGAATCATTAATAACTTCACCAATTCATAACATATTGTGAATCTTTTGGGGGATATTGTATTTGATGATATATCATCTTATAGTAGACACCATAAAAACAAAATCAATTATATTTAACTCAAAGGTCAGAAAGTAGATACAGTTTTCTCTTGAAAGTGTTGAGCAATACAAATATCTAGGATGTGTATTTAGTAAAACAAAATCAACTGCACCACCAGCAGTTTATGGAGAATGGGACGTTACCCATTAAAGATGAGTTTTGAAATCAAGACAATCAAATCATTGGAATCGTTTACTACACCTTTACAGTCAAAACAGTAATGTTTGTGAGTACTTTGAATTTAAAAAATAAGCAATCAAATGACCATATTGAAACAGTTTATGTAAAAATAGAAACATTTATATTTATCCTAACTTTTGTATATTTTAGTTTGTTATGTCACCTTATGTCACCACCAAAAGTGGTGACATATTGTTATGGTCTCCGTTTTTTTTGCGACGGCGGTTGGTGGTTGGCGGTTGGTGGTTGGCGTCCGGCGTCCGGCGGTTGGCGTCCGGCGTCTGTAACAATTTCTTACAACTTCCTATAACTTAACAAATACTGTTTAGACTGACTTCAATTTTTTTCTAAATCATCTACATGTTCTCAGAAGTTCAAATCTGACTTTAGATTTGACATTTGACCTTCAATGACCTTCTCAAGGTCAAAAAGGTCTTTTTTCAACTTGCTTCACATTGACTAAATTTTTTTTCAAAATCATCTACATGTTCTCAGAAATTCAAATCTGACTTTAGATTTGACATTTGACCTTCAAATCTGACTTTAGATTTGACATTTGACCTTCAATGACCTTCTCAAGGTCAAAAAAGGTCAAAAAGGTTTGTTTTCAACTTGCTTCAAATTGACTAAATTTTTTTTTCAAAATCATCTACGTGTTCTCAGAAATTCAAATCTGACTTAAGATTTGACTTAAGATTTGACATTTGACCTTCTCAAGGTCAAAAAAGGTCTGTTTTCAACTTGCTTCAAATTGACTAAAAAAAATTTTCAAAATCATCTACGTGTTCTCAGAAATTCAAATCTGACTTTAGATTTGACTTAAGATTTGACATTTGACCTTCAATGACCTTCTCAAAGTCAAAAAAGGTCAAAAAGGTCTTTTTTCAACTTGCTTTAAATTGACTAAATTTTTTTTTCAAAATCATCTACATGTTCTCAGAAATTCAAATCTGACTTTAGATTTGACATTTGACCTTCAATGACCTTCTCAAGGTCAAAAAAGGTCTGTTTTCAACTTGCTTCAAATTGACTAAATTTTTTTTTCAAAATCATCTACGTGTTCTCAGAAATTCAAATCTGACTTAAGATTTGACTTAAGATTTGACGTTTGACCTTCAATGACCTTCTCAAGGTCAAAAAGGTCTGTTTTCAACTTGCTTCAAATTGACTAAAAAAAAATTTCAAAATCATCTTCGTGTTCTCAGAAATTCAAATCTGACTTTAGATTTGACTTAAGATTTGACATTTGACCTTCAATGACCTTCTCAAAGTCAAAAAAGGTCAAAAAGGTATTTTTTCAACTTGCTTCAAATTGACTAAAATTTTTTCAAAATCATCTACATGTTCTCAGAAATTCAAATCTGACTTTAGATTTGACATTTGACCTTCTCAAGGTCAAAAAAGGTCTGTTTTCAACTTGCTTCAAATTGACTAAAATTTTTTTTCAAAATCATCTACATGTTCTCAGAAATTCAAATCTGACTTTAGATTTGACATTTGACCTTCAATGACCTTCTCAATGTCAAAAAAGGTCAAAAAGGTATTTTTTCATCTTGCTTCAAATTGACTAAATTTTTTTTCAAAATCATCTACATTCTACATGTTCTCAGAAATTCAAATATGACTTTAGATTTGACTTTAGATTTGACATTTGACCTTCTCAAGGTCAAAAAGGTCTTTTTTCAACTTGCTTCAAATTGACTAATTTTTTTTTTCAAAATCATCTACATGTTCTCAGAAATTCAAATCTGACTTTAGATTTGACATTTGACCTTTAATGACCTTCTCGAGGTCAAAAAAGGTCAAAAAGGTCTGTTTTCAACTTGCTTCAAATTGACCAAATTTTTTTTTCAAAATCATCTACATCTTTTCAGAAGTTCAAATTTGACTTTACAAGTTCTCAGAAATTCAAATCTGACTTATATTAAGTTTGAACTCATAATATTGTGAGCAACTAGGTGGTGACATTTTGTCATGTTAATGCCTTGTTTTCTAGTTTTAAAATTATATCTGTATCCTCTTATATTTTGATACTTCTCTGCCATGTTATTTTCGGAAAAATTAAAACTCCCTAAATTACAAAAGGCCACAGCTTTGCTGCACATTATACATTACTATCTGAAATATACAAAAGATAAATGTTTCTATGTTTACATAAACTGTTTCAATGTCGTCATTTGATTGCTTATTTTTTAAATTCAAAGTACTCACAAACATTACTGTTGACTGTAATAGCCTACTCTTCAAAAATGTGATTCTTTTCATATTGGCAAACTAAAAAAATCGATGATGACTCTATTTTAACAAAGAAATGACTAAAAATTTACATCAGAATTAAAGAAAGCCCATCGTAAAATTTAAGAAAGTTTTGGAAAGAAATGCAGAACTCTGAAAGAAAACCAGAGTTTTGTTTGAAACCATTAGCAATTTAATCTGATGTTATATTTAAACGACTTATGTCTCTATGTCTATGTCAATAATCCGCAAAAGGCTAATAAGCCCATATAAAGCAGATATATAATTTAACAGTGATAGAATTTGAATAGAATATAATTTAAAACCTTAACATTTAAAAATAGATCTAGCCTATGGTTTACAACTCATTTTACCTGGGGAGACTGTCAGGCTAACCGCGTTGACATCACCCCTCTTTACCAGTAGTGCAGGCTTGTTGCTGTGCACTGGGGACCCTTTACATTAAAACATAGATCTATATTAAAAACACACCTATTTAATTGCAGTTATTGACATAGGCATAGTATGATGATTTAAAACTACTTAGACTGTCACAGTCTAAGATGTCACCAGGTAGAGTGTTCCATTTAGCTATTGTCCTAGGGAAATAGCTAAATTTGTATGCATCCGTTCTAGTTGATGGTTGTATGAACTTAGAAGGATGATACAACCTAGTGTTGGTATTGATCTGTTGGCGGAAGTATGGAGGCACGTCGATGGCTGCTAGGTTCTGCTTTCCTTTGTAGAAAAGGAAAACTCTAGCAGCCTCTCGACGCTCCTTCAGTGGCTCCCACTGTAGGTCTTGAAGAGCTTTGGTGACGCAGCCTGGTTCCCTTGAGTGACATTTGGTTACAAACCTGGCTGCTCTTCTCTGTACCTGTTCCAACATATCAATATCTTTTTGTCGGTACGGATCCCATGCCGAGCTGGCATACTCTAAATTAGGCCGGACTAGTGACTTATACGCCTGAGCCTTCACTTTTTCAGGGCATTGATGGAGGTTGCGCCTGAGAAATCCAAGCACCTTATTGGCTTTGGATACAATAGTTTGAATATGTGTAGTCCAGCGTAAGTTATTTGTGATGTCAATTCCTAGGTATGGGATGTGTGTTACCGACTTAAGGTTTTCCCCTAGCATGGTGTAATTGTGCATGATAGGGGATTTACCTTTGTGAATATTTAGCACATAGCATTTTGATGGATGGAATTTCATTTGCCATGTTGATGCCCAGGAGACCAGTTTATCAAGATTCTCCTGTAGTGTTAATGCATCTTGCTTGCTTTCGACTGTCATGAATAAAAGGCTGTCGTCGGCAAAAAGCTTAAGACTGGCTGAGGATGATAGGTTATTGCCCATATCATTGATATAAACAAGGAAACAGATCTCATCAGTCTCATAAGATTCTTAAGAAGATCATCTATTCTATCACTCATTCAAAAAGTTGGATGACGTAATTTCAATGATATCTCTTGAAGGCCCATGATCACACTGATATAATCTGCTGTAATCTTTGAACCAGTGCCGGGGACCTATGACTTATATTTTTGCATTTGTCATTCATTTATATCAGTTAGTTTAGTTTAAGTTTTTTTGTATATTTTACACTGTAGTGATTATTATATGACTAATGTCATTGCAATGACATCAAAGAGTCAATAGAAGTTATATATAATGGCCAAATGGTAATGGCCCGGGGAATTAATGTTGACTGACTAGTTTATTTTGGTGCACTGAACGAAAACGCCTCTGTACGACTAGACCTGCCTTGGAAAAATCAACATGGAGAGCGACGACGAAGAATCGTTTGCAGCATTTGGCCGGCCTTTGGAGCAGTATGAAGAAGGTGAGAGAAATCTCATGATGCTCATTTGTTTTTGAGGGAATCGTTTGAATGATAGGTGTCACCTTTCTTCTATGTAAATTATCCGAATTCACGCGGAAAGGATGTTTTGAAATTTTATTTTTATTTTTTTACTGATCTTAGGCTAAAAGTTTTCAGAAGAAGTGAGTAGCTCACACAATTCTTTCATATTCTATCGTATTCGGGGATTCCCCATTACGTCATCTCCCGCATCATCTCCAATCAAATTACAGGATGTGATCACGGAGCTCTGCCAGATTACCTACTTTGTGTCTAGGCTCACAGAGCTGTCAAGTGTCCCGCGAATGATATATGTCACGATATAGGGTAGATATTTTTCGGTTTTTATTTTGTGCTACTTTTGGACTTAGAATAAAATCTAAAATGACCAGGCATCAGGGATCAGATTAAAAAAAATAAGAACAGGACTCGTCAAAAGAGATAACGTATAGCATAAAATGGACTCTTTTTCAAAACCAACACAAATGGCGCAAAGTAGCACTTTCCAGAAAATGAACAGAGTCCAGCCTCTCGATAGATTTTCATACCTGTTTTTCAAAACTAACACAAATGTCCAAAAGTAACACTTTTCCAGAAAAATAAACAGAGTCCAGTCTATCGATATATTTTCATCCAGTTTTTTCAAAACTAACACAAATGGCCAAAAGTAACACTTTTCCAGAAAATTAACAGAATCCAGCCTAACGATAGATTTTCATACCTTTTTTCAAAACCAACACAAATGGCCTAAAGTTGCACTTTCCAGAAAATAAACAGAGTCCAGCCTCTCGATAGATTTTCATAACTGTTTTTCAAAACTAACACAAATGGCCAAAAGTAACACTTTTCCAGAAAAATAACAATTGTCGGTACCCCAGCAAATACCCCTGGACAGTCTCCAGTACCGACAATTGTCAGTCCTGGAGCCACTCCGTAAAACGTAAGGCTCTCAAGCCAGGGCCTTTTGAAAAAAAAAGGTATAAGAATCTATCGATAGGTTGGTCTCTGTTTGTTACTTTTGGCCATTTGTGTTGGTTTTGAAAAAGGGGTATGAAAATCTATCGATAGGCTGGACTCTATTTATTTTCTGGAAAAAGTGTTACTTTTGGCCATTTGTGTTGGTTTTGAAAAAAGGTATGAAAATCTATTGCTAGACAGGACTCTGTTTATTTTCTGGAAAAGTGTTACTTTTGGCCATTTGTGTTGGTTTTCAAAAAAAGGTATGAAAATCTATCGATGGGCTGAACTCTGATTATTTTCTGGAAAGTGTTACTTTTCACCATTTGTGTTGGTTTTGAAAAAAGGTATGAAAATCTATCGTATGCTGGACTCTGTTTATTTTCTGAAAAGTGTTACTTTTCGCCATTTGTGTTGGTTTTGAAAAAAGGTATGAAAATCTATCGTATGCTGGACTCTGTTTATTTTCTGAAAAGTGTTACTTTTTGCCATTTGTGTTGGTTTTGAAAAAAGGTATGAAAATCTATCGTATGCTGGACTCTGTTTATTTTCTGAAAAGTGTTACTTTTGGCCATTTGTGTTGGTTTTCAAAAAAAGGTATGACAATCTATTGATGGGCTGAACTCTGATCATTTTCTGGAAAAGTGTTACTTTTGGCCATTTGTGTTGGTTTTGAAAAAAGGTATGAAAACCTATCATATGCTGGACTCTGTTTATTTTCTGGAAAAGTGTTACTTTTCACCATTTGTGTTGGTTTTGAAAAAAGGTATGAAAATCTATCGTATGCTGGACTCTGTTTATTTTCTGAAAAGTGCTACTTTTCGCCATTTGTGTTGGTTTTGAAAAAAGGTATGAAAATCTATCGTATGCTGGACTCTGTTTATTTTCTGAAAAGTGTTACTTTTCGCCATTTGTGTTGGTTTTGAAAAAAGGTATGAAAATCTATCGTATGCTGGACTCTGTTTATTTTCTGAAAAGTGTTACTTTTCGCCATTTGTGTTGGTTTTGAAAAAAGGTATGAAAATCTATCGTATGCTGGACTCTGTTTATTTTCTGGAAAGTGCTACTTTTTTGCCATTTGTTTTGGTTTTGAAAAAAGGTATGAAAATCTATCCTATGCTGGACTCGCCATTTGTGTTGGTTTTGAAAAAAGGTATAAAAATCTATCGATAGACTTGACTCTGTTTATTTTCTGAAAAGTGTAACTTTTCGCCATTTGTGTTGGTTTTGAAAAAAGGTATAAAAATCTATTGTATGCTGGACTCTGTTTATTTTCTGGAAAGTGCTACTTTTTGCCATTTGTGTTGGTTTTGAAAAAAGGTATGAAAATCTATCCTATGCTGGACTCTGTTTATTTTCTGAAAAGTGTTACTTTTCGCCATTTGTGTTGGTTTTGAAAAAAGGTATAAAAATCTATCGATAGACTTGACTCTGTTTATTTTCTGGAAAGTGCTACTTTTTGCCATTTGTGTTGGTTTTTAAAAAAGGTATGAAAATCTATCGTATGCTGGACTCTGTTTAATTTCTGGAAAAGTGATACTTTTGGCCATTTGTGTTGGTTTTGAAAAAAGGTATAAAAATCTATCGATAGGCTGAACTCTGTTTATTTCCTGGAAAAGTGTTACTTTTGGCCATTTGTGTTGGTTTTGAAAAACGTAAAGGCTACAGTACCGACAATTGTCGGTACTCTAGACTCTGATGTGGTAGCACGCTAGAGGACCGACAAATAAATTGTCGGTACGGGAGATATGCTGTGTTTACACGCTAGAGGACCGACAAATATTGATTTTCGAATTTTCTGGCGCATGCGCAATGCGCGGGGGGATATTTCAGATATCATACGGATATTTTGGGAACAAGTGCAAAACCCGGGGAAGGCATTAGCCCCGGTTACCCGGGGATTACCAAACCCAGTCAAAAAATGGTAGCCCGGGAACAGGGAATGGTAGTAAACGTTGAAAGGCCCAATAAAAAACATGAACAAGTAAGACGTTAGAGAGCTATTAATGCAGAGTAAACGGCTATATATATTCTAAACAGACAGGATATTTCTCCTGAGCCGATCAGGCGTAGAAAGGGGCGTTTGCTACCCATTAGATAGAAGAAAATAGCTAGAATGTTTTTTATTTGAAGCTTATGGTATGAGGTTCCATATCCATCCGCCAAAAGGTATAACCCCTATATAGTCCATTTAAAAACCTGTGGTATCGTTCTAAATAACCCATAGTTAGCTTCTCTTTCTAGGGTACCTAGTATGCCACTATTTGGTGTCAAAATAAAGAGGAGTTCAACTTTCATTTGAATTACGAAAATAGCGATGTAGGTCAAAATAGTTCCGAACGTGAGCATGTTTACTACGCGTTTGCCCGTCATATCAGAATTGAAGAAGTGGTAGCAAACGCGAGTTACAATAAACGGACGCTGATATCTCAAAAAGTAACCTGACTCCCTATAATTTGATGTAGGTCAATCGAACCCCTATAATGGACAGGTGCATTTTGATATATAACACTATTGGGGGTAAGCGTTTCATAGTTGGTCACGAACGCCATATGTGCAAAGTATTGTTATGAATTTTCGAATTTGGTGTTGGATTACGGTACTCATACCTTATAGCACAATTTTTGATGGAAGTTGCATTTGGCTCCCTTAGTTAATGGCCACGATTCCATCTCGCATGAGAGAGCTACCAAACGCAAAGTAAACAGTGATATATTCCAAATGAGATATTTCTCCTGTGCCATGGCGTAGTAAGGGTAGAGAGCGACGGGGGCGAAAGCATCCCCTCCCCTAACTGTATATATAGACCCATTAGATAGAACAAGAAAAGAGCTTTAAAATGTTTTTTAATTGAAGCTTGTAGGACAATTTTGATGGAAGTTGAATCAATTTTTGTCGAAATAAATTATGGCTCACTACAAGTTAATGCCTATACGATTCCATACTGCAAAAGAAGCACTATGCCCCCCCCCTCAAAAGAAAAAAAGTCGGTTTTGCCGGGATTCGAACTCGGGACCGATTGTGTTCGAGTCGTGCTCGCTAACCACTAGGCTACCAGTGATTAGGTTATTTCTAAAAGTAAAAGTAGTGGATTTATTTATGAAATTGTGGGCTCTCTAGCAAAAACACGTAGCAGCCACTTGCGTACTGACAATTGTCGGTTCTCTATCTGGCACTACTAGTTGACGATAGAGTGCCGACAATTGTCGGTACCCCAGCAAATACCCCTGGACAGTCTCCAGTACCGACAATTGTCGGTCCTGGAGCCACTCCGTTTGAAAAAAGGTATGAAAATCTATCGAGAGGCTGGACTGAACTGTATGTTTAAATGCCTGGTCATTTTAAATTTTATTCTAAGTCCAAAAGTAGCACAAAATAAAAACCCAATAATCGCTACCCTATATTGTGACACTGATGCCGCGAATGGCGGGATTATCCTGCGAATTCGATCAAAATTAGGCTAATTCGCGTGTCCCGCAATGTCCCGCGAAGTCCCGCAAATGTGGCTTTCGACCTCCGCGAATTTCTGAAATTGTTGCAATCCCCTATATGGTGATTATCTTATCTTATATAAGAAGCTAAGTTTTTGCACTTTTGAGGAGTAAAGTTTACCTAATTTTAAGGACAGGGTGCATGTTGGGAAATTTTCTGCATTCCTCAATTGAGTCACATGTTATTTTTCAAACATGAATAACTCCTTCCCCACATTGTCTACATCTTCCAAGTTTGCACAAAGAATGCACTTTTGTGCCTAGAAAAGCATTGTGAGAAGGTTTGTTTTGTAAAATGTATAAAAAATGAGAAAATTCAGTGAAAAAATTTCTGAAAATTTTCTGATTTTTTTCACTGAATTTTCTTGTTTTTTATACACTTTGTCAAAACATTCTTCTCACAAGTCTTTTCTAGGCACATAAGTGCACTCTTTGTGCTAAACTGGAAGATATAGACAATAAAGGGAAGGAGTGATTCTTGTTTGAAAAATAACATGTGACTCAATTGAGGAATGCAGAAAATTTCCCATCATGCACCCTGACCTTAAGTACCTAGCATGCTGTAGTTTGGTATCAAAATAAAGAGGAAGGGTTCAACTTTCATTTTAATTACGACAATAGGGATGTAGGTCACAAATAGTTCCAACGTTGGCCTTTTTACTATCCGTGTGGCCTTCATTTCAGAACTGAGCAAATGTTAGCAAACGCGAGTTACAATAAATGGACGCTGATATCTAGAAAGGGTTTGTAGAAAAGACCGGGTAGTTAATCCTCCATGCTGGGTTCAAACTTGGTACCCGGTACCCGGTCAAAAAACGAGTATAACATAATTAGATTATCAGAAAACGTGTAAGATTTGTTTTGAATTTACAAAAATGTATGTAACATCCTTCAAAATTGAGCTAGAAGCTTCAAATAAAAAGCATATTTTAAGGCTCTTTTCTTCCTCTATCGTCATGACCATATTTTCATTGGTTATGTTCACGTACCAACATACGAACTCATTGAAAATAGAGTAAAATTGATTTGTCTTGTTATTCAAATCGTCTAACAATGTCATTGGCGTAGCCAGGAGAGAGTGTGATGGTGCGATCGCACCCCCTCCCCCTTCATTACCAATGGAAATATGACCATGATGATAGAGGAAGAAAAGAGGCTGAAAATGCTTTTTATTTGAAGCTTCTAGCTCAATTTTGAAGGAAGTTACATTTTTGTAAATTCAAAACAAATCTTACACGTTTTCTAATGATCTAATAATGTTGTATATTCGTATATTTTGTTTTTTTGGTTCCCGGTTTTTCGACCGGGTACCAAGTTTGTCTACGTAAATTTTATTTATATTATTAATTGCATTACATTTACATGTACATATTTATATTTACATTTATATGTACAAAAATAAGAATGAAGGAATAAAAAAAAAAAAAAAAAAAAGTTTGAACCCAGCATGGAGGATTTACTACCCGGTACCCGGTTTTTTCTACAAACCCTATCTAGAAAAGTAACCTCATTCCCTATAATTTGATGTAGATTAATCGAACCCCTATATCATGGGCTTTCAATTGAAAGCCCATGCCTACAGTATGGTAGTAGTTGGTCACGACGCCAGAAGCAGAGAAGTGCAAAGTATTGTTCCAAATTTTTGAATTTCGTGTAAGATTACGATACTCACACCTCAAGCATGGCTTTTGTTTTTGATAAATTACAATAAAGTTTAATAATATTTCTATGCGTATTTTGTGAAATTATGTTGACGTTTATTTAAGTTACAATGTAACGGTGCATTATATTTGATTAATCAGTATCTGAAAGTTTGATTCAAGTACTTTTACACGCTTTTACATTAAGAAATTCTCCATCTAAAATGTCACTCGACTTTTTTGTGATTATGAGTCAAAGAAAGCATTCTTGAGTTTCAAATTGACTTCTGTGGTAACTTGAAACCATCTTCTAATTTATTCCACTTACCTTTTATTGTTTCTCCAAATATATTCTTTGAAAATCAGATTTTAAGGGTGTTAATCAGGGTAGTTCTGTGCCATTTTATCAAAAATCTTGTTGCTATCTAGAAACGAGGAATTGTGATCTTGTTGTTACCTAGGAACGAGCAACTGTGATGTCACGTCACACTCATGTTAATTCTGGAATCACATGGCAGCCATTTTGGAAATTTCAAAAAAGTTCCCAATTAAAAAGGCTAAATGCTGTTTACAAATTGGAAACTATGGCAGAATCAACAAAGGGTTTGTGAAATAATTAGGATATGGTTTCAAAATTGTGCACATGACAATATATGACTACTAAATGCAGGCAGGGACTTTTAATTGCCAAAAAGTCGAGTGACATTTAAGATGGAGAATTTCTTAGTCCAAATCACGCAAATCCCTTGAATGTCCCGGGACATCCTGCAAATTTAGGTGGATGTCCAGCGAAATCCCGCAAATTTAGGGCACTTTTTCTAGAAAATCTGTCCCTCTATGAAGTTTTTGCTGGTAAACCTGTTAACTGTCCCGCAATTAGGGTGTTTGTCCCTCAATGGTACCGCGAAATCCCGCGAATTTGATAAAAAAAAATTGGCCTATAAGCGCAATCACGCAAATCCCTTAAATGTCCCGCGAAATCCCGCGAATTTAGTATATGTCCCGCAAAATCCCGCGAATTTTGGGCACTGGGTCTAAAGAATCTGTCCCGCGAGAAAATCTTTGGGGGTTGACAGTACTGGGCTCAATACATATACTCAAGCACAGATCCGGAGCCATATCCAGCCCCTATTGGTAGTAGGCTCAAAGGATGTATGGGAAGATAAGACATTAGCCAAAAATGCTGCATCATAAAAATGACCAATGAAAAATATGACCCTCGTACTGACCTTTATTTTTTCCATCTGTCAGACATTGATTGATCAATATTTACTCGTAATCTCTTCTTTATGTATTAGTTTGAATGATATCCATTATTGACGCTGTAATTCGACTTTTCCTGGGACATTTATTTAAGATTTTCAGAGCGTAAAGATAATGGAGTGCCTGGTAATATCCGGCAGTGTCCGATGGACACTTCCGGAAATCAATTCATCCAATGCATTCTTATAACTAACATATTTCCTATAGTTAAATGAATTTTGGTCACAATCTATTTTCCTTTTTATGTCCGCCATTTTTGTTTCAGACAATTTTCTGAAATTTCAAAGATTGTATCGTTTAGAGCAATTTATTGGGCACATTTTCTGAAAAATTCAAAAGATTCTGTTCAGTGACCTTTCCAGAGGGGCAACTTTTAGCTATTATTCAGTCACATTTTCAGAGGGCTGAAAAGGTTATTTCATCATGTTAAGGTGCCATGGAAGTTAACAGGAAATGACGAAACAGGAAGTGAAATTTTTTTTGCATTTTTAGACATTTTTTGAACAAAGATAACAGAGTTCTGGTTTGACCTCCAGTCAATTTAATTATTTCCACATATCATTTACATGACCAGGATCACAATGTGCATGGTCAGAATAACCCTAAACATGATGAAATAACCTTTTTAGCCCTTTGAAAGTGTGACTGAAAAAAAGCTAAAAGTAGGAGCTAGGGAAGGTCACAGAACAGAATCTTTTGAATTTTTCAGACAATGTGCCCAATATAATACTCCAACTGATACAATCTTTGAAATTTTAGAAAATTGTCTTAAACAAAAATGGCGGTCATAAAAAGGAAAATAGATCGCTTTTCAAATCAGTTTTTTCATAATTTATCTTTTTCTATGAATGATATCAAATTTTCAAAGATTGTATCATTTAGAGCAATAAATTGGGCACATTTTCTGAAAAATTCGAAAGATTCTGTTCAGTGACCTTTCCTACTTCCTTCTTTTAGCTATTTTTCAGTCACATTTTCAGAGGGCTGAAAAGGTTATTTCATCATGTTTAGGGTCATTCTGACCATGAACATTGTGATCCTGGACCTGTAAATGGTATTTGGAACTAGTTGAATTGACTGGAGGTCAAAACAGAACTTTGTTATCTTTGTTCAAAAAATGTCTAAAAATGCAAAAAAATTGTCACTTCCTGTTTTGTCAATTCCTGTTAACTTCCATAGCACCTTAAGGGTCATTCTGACCATTTCCATTGTATTCCTGGTCATTTAAATGACATTGTGGAACTAGTTAAACTGACTGGAGGTCAAAACAGAACTCTGTTATCTTGGTTCAAAAAATTTTCAAAAGCCAGCATACAATGTTTTAAGAGATCAAACTCAAGAGCTGACTCTTCCAATATTCTTTAGAGCTTAAACTTAATAAAAGTTCAAGCTGACTCTCTTAAAATTGAGTTCAAGCTGACTCTCTCAAACTAAACTCAAACTCTTACAATGTTCTTTAGAGATCAAACTTAAGAGTTCAAGCTGAGTCTCTCAAACTTAAGTTCAAGTTGACTCTCTCAAACTTGAGTTCAAGTTGACTCTTTCAAACTAAACTCAGACTCTTACAATGTTTTTCAAACTTAAGACTTCAAGCTGACTCTTTCAAACTTGAGTTCAAGCTGACTCTCACAATGTTCTTTAGAGTTCAAACTTAAGAGTTCAAGCTGACTCTTACAGTGCTCTTTAGAGTTCAAACTTAAGAGTTCAAGCTGACTCTCACATTGTTCTTTAGAGTTCAAACTTAAGAGTTCAAGCTGACTCTCACAATGTTCTTTTGAGTTCAAACTTAAGATTTCAAGCTGACTCTTACAATGTTCTTTAGAGTTCAAACTTTAGAGTTCAAGCTGACTCTCACAATGCTCTTTAGAGTTCAAACTTAACATCAAACTAATACTCACAAGTAATGACCTAAAAAGTTTCTGTGTCCTAAAAAGGGAAATATTTTCAATTTTTGTGTCTACCAATTTTTTTGTGTCCTTAACATGTATTGGACGGAATTCAAGATGCGAGCTCTGGAGCTATATGAAAACTTATCCACTTAAACTGATGAATATTCACGTAACTACCTAACAGCATCTTGGTTATCTGCAATATGAATTACAATCTGAAAGTTGGTTAGAACTTACTTTGTTGCTTTATTATGTTGATTTTTCAGGTGCTGTCCCTAGAAAGCCTCAGAAGGTGCAAGATCAGACTGTACGGGATGATAAAGGAAGACAGAGGCATGTTGGATTGCAAAATTGTTATGGTTAAAGAGACTCTATACCATAGGATAGCACAAGCAAGACCCCTCTAGACATTTTTGCATATTGAATTTCACTACATATTCACCTATTAATTCAATCTGAAGTTTGAATATATCGGGAAGTCCCCTGTTATCTGATTGGTCTTTGAAGTTGTTTATCATGAACCTTATTGGCTGCCTGGTTCAATGGAGTGTGTTGGTGTTTGTGTGACTCAACGAAGATTTCCCTCGCTTGGCAAGGAAATCGAGTGTGTTTAATTCTGAAGTTGGTTGTTCTCTTGATTATTTCAATATTTCGGGAATTTATATACACATACCCATAAGTCATTCTCAAGATATAGCCATGGTATGTGAGATATTATATGAGCAATAAAAATGGGACATCATTGATTGTCTGGGAGAGAAACCTATGGTATATTGCATCTTTAAAAGTACATATTGTCCAACCAATCCACATTTGGTACCAAATATAACTTAACATTACTGTATATACATTTTTATCCTGGAGTTAAAGAGGGCGTCTGTTCGTGTTTTGGGGTGAGAACTCAAATACTGGTTGACAGATTTGATTCAAATTTTATAGGCACATGCCTTATGGATGTAGGACCTCCACTTGAGAAGGAATTTCAATATAGCCAAACAATTCAATTTTTGTAAAAACTGTATTGTCTCAAATACTGGTTGACAGATTTGGTTCAAATTTTCTATGGTGTTGTCTATGGACAAAGGAGCTGATTTTTTAAAATGGCCAAAATAAAAAACATAATCTTTGATAGCTCAAATACCTGAATTTTAAAAAGGCTACCATTTTTCGTATCTTTGGGAAATGAAATACCGGTTGATGGATTTAGTTCAAATTTTTATATATGGTGTTGCTCAGAGATGAAGAAGTTCTGCTCAAAAAAAGAATGGAAGATGGCCGCTATTTATCGAAATGGCTATACCATTTGTCATTCAAACTTTATATGCTGATACCCAGGAGCTCTGTTCAAGAAGAAATTTTCAGTTTTATTAATAAAAGTTAATTCAAACTAATTATCAAAATATGTTTTTTGGTGGGATTTGCTACTCTATGGAGTTTTTCTTCATTTTGATTGCTTAAACCATGAAGGCTGGTATACATCCATGGTTGAATTCTTGTGACATAAACTATCCAATGATGTTTTCCTGTGGTAACCTATTCATGGACAAGAGAAAATATTTTGTCCACACTGCTTTTAATATCCCTTCTCCAGAACTAGCCCCTCAATTTATACTGTATTAATGCCCTTTGGCTTGGTCTGTGAAAACTATGCCCATTTACACACTAGAAAGAATGACCTGAAAAGATGCCCACTGTCAAAAACAAGCATCCCCATAACATTAAATTTTCCAATGTAGGTATTTTATTTTGTTTTTTGCACTTGTAGGTTCCATGGGGCCTTTACTGGTGGCTTTTCGGCTGGCTACTTTAATAGTGTGGGATCAAAAGAAGGATGGGTTCCAACTACTTTTGTGTCATCGCGGGAAAAGAAAGCAGAAAAGCAGGTGATCAAACCAGAGGATTTCATGGACCAAGAGGTTTGTCATTTGTTGTTTCAGTATTCATTTGGTGGCATCAATTTGGTCATAGAATTTTCTAATTATATAACTAAATCATATTACACGTAAGAGACAAAGAAATCAGACACATTATAGTTTTCCTATATTGACTTTCATGGTTAGTATAATTCATCTGAATAGCTCAGCGGTAGAGCACATGTACCAATTATGTATAGGTCTTGGATTCCATCCCTGGTTCAGGTACCTTGTTGCTTAAAGTACTCCAGTGTGTTTGACTGACCGAGTGGTCCATGACTCATAAAAAGGCTGTGGTATGTACTTGTATGACTATGTACGGAAGCACATAAAGGAACACAGGGCTCCTGGATCCTGCCTTCTATAATTATTCGTTAATTACGACAGTATACCCTAAAGGTATTGCTCACCTTCATTAGTGGTAAACAAAATACAATACAATACAATACATAGGGATTTCTTCAAATTTTGTCTTGTCCTTTTACCAAAAGTTTTCTGTTGCAAGACACCAGGCAAAATGAGCGAAAACAACATTCAGGCGAAATGAGTGAAAACAACATTTAGCAAAATGAGTGAAAAGTTCAACATTCAGGCAAAATGAGTGAAAATAAAATTCAGGAAAAATGAGTGAAAACAACATTCAGGCAAAATGAGTGAAAATAACGCATTCAAGTAAAATGAATGAAAGCAACATTCAGGCAAAATGAGTGAAAACAAGTGAATTCAGGCAAAATTATGAAGCATACATTTTTTTTACATGGAAACAGTTTCAAAATGAGTGAAATGACATTCAGGCAAAATGAGTGAAAAGAACATTCAGGCAAAATGAGTGAAACATCATTCAGGCAAAATGAGTGAAAACAACATTCAGGCAAAATGAGTGAAAACAACATTTAGGCAAATGATTGAAAACAACATTCAGGCAAAATGAGTGAAAATAACATTCAGGTAAAATGAATGAAAATAACATTCCGGCAAAAATTAGTGAAAGTAACATTCAGGCAAAATGAGTGACAACAACATTCAGGCAAAATGAGTGAAAACAACATTCAGGCAAAATGAGTGAAAACAACATTCAGGCAAAATGAGTGAAAATAACATTCAGGCAAAATGAGTGAAAACAACATTTAGGCAAATGATTGAAAACATTATTCAGGCAAAATGAGTGAAAATAACATTCAGGCAAAATGAGTGAAAATAACATTCAGGCAAAATGAATGAAAACAACATTCAGCCAAAATGAATGAAAATAACATTCAGGCAAAATTATGAAAGCATAATATTTTTACATGGAAGTAGTTGCAAATTTCCTAAATACAACAGGTGATTTGGGTAAAAAATAACTGTAAAGTTGTCTGGTTGAAAGGAAACCTCTTCTTCACATTAATGAATTCAAATTTCAGGATCTGAGTTCATATGGGATTGCTCCGCGTGAAGTGACCACCACTGAGAAGTTTGCTAGTAAGGAGGGCAGGAGTGAAAGAAAGAAGACAGCTCCAAAGGGTCATCTTGGTCTATTACCTGGTGTAGAAGAACTTATTGTAGCCTCTAAGTAAGAACTTTGCTAGGGTCCTAAGAGTGAGAGGGGTTTATTAGAATTTTAGGAGAAATACCTAAGATCCCATGGATCATCTTGATTTGCTTCCTGGTGTTACAAAACTTTATTGTACTTTCTAATGTATTTCACTTATTCCTGTACATTGTATGTTCAGGGAGAATACATTGCACCAGAATGTATTTGATGCATGTAAATTACATGCATTTTTGTATGTCTCAGTGATCTTCCCAACATTAAAGCAATTTGGCACAGCACCCACCTGAGATTTTGGAAACAGGCTGGCACCCACCTTAAAATCCATTTGCACCCACTTGAAAATGAGAAAAACCATGAAAAATTGGCATATTTTGACCAATTTTGGTCTGAATTGTGAATATGAGAATTCTGCACCCACCTGAGAAAGATTCTTTGGAGAACACTGACAGTTTTTACAGATTATTGATTGCTTTTTCAGAAGTTCTATGGGTATGAGACTCCTCCAGCACATGGGCTGGAAAGATGGACAGGGTATTGGAGCACGCGTTAAAAGAAAGCCAAAGACCCAGAAACCCAGTGAAGCAGAGGGAGGAGGGAAAGTATATGGATGTGCTATGCCACCTGATTTAGGCTCTGATGAGGTACAGTAAAACTTGTCTTATTCAAACAATACCGTAACCCACTGAAAGTGTTCTGATTAGTAGATGTTCACATTTCAAGGTTTCTTCAACGAGGAAGTGGTAGTGAGTGGGAGGATTAAAAATTGGGACAGAGAAAAAGTGTTTGTATTTAGAAGACAGGTGTTTGGATTAGAGAGGTATTTTGTTTGCCACAGCAGCACTTATAGCAATGTGTAGGGGGAACAAAAAAAGGCAAAACAGGCCCTGGACTATCTAAAGTAAATTTTAAACTATACAAAGTACATGTATTGATTTGATTCCTGAGGTGCTTCATATCCACTCTATGTGTACTAAAGGGTATTTTCTATGATTCTATGAAAATGCCTAAATCGGAATATGTGGAGTATATGTGTTAATATTTGGAGATGTCCATATAAATGTACATTGTGGATTGTTTCCAGGAATCGGAGGATGATGACTACACAAGGGTATTTACATTTGCTCCCAAAGATACCACCCCCATTAGCTTCACCCCTAAGGATGATCTACATGGTATAGGGTACAAAGGAATTAACCCTCACAATGCTATGGGACACGTTAACCTCTTTGAGGCCCCTGTTGTCACAAAGACTGGACATAAAGGGATCCGTGGACAGGTACTCTATTGACATTAATTGCTGGTCAATTTGAAGTTATTTTAGGCAAATCAAAAACTTTAACCCCTGTAAATAAAGATATACATATTTATCCCATACTTCTTAGTAGTGTTATAGGTAAATAACAAGCAGGAATATAATCGATATCTGTTTTCTTCTATTCTCTTCTTCTTTACTCTGAAAATGCACACAAAATATGTGTAAATACCCTTGTTTCTTTTTGGCATTCATGTGGAGATATGCATTTATTAATCTAGGCTTTTGGAACTGGTGCCTTGAATGAGGATGATGATGATATTTATGCGATGGATCACATGTCAAATTACAATACTGTGATTGGTGGAGACGAAGAAGATAAATTGCACGGCTGGACAGCACCAGGAAGAAAAAGTAATTGAACCATAATACTGTTTGAATCACAAAATATTTTTTTAAATACCAGGTTTATTTAACTGAGTGAGCCATTGGGATTGGGATTGTCCATTGGTTCATCCATCCCTTAACATTGTTGACACAAAAGTAAAAATTGCTATTTGCATAAGGGATATGCACTTTAATTTTATGTGTTTCCATAGTATCTGTGTGACCTGTCATTGCCATTCCAAAGTTGTCTTGGTTTCAAAAAGTGTCATATTGATATATCAGAGAGTATGAAATAAAATAATAATTCCATGAGTGTGGATAGGGGTCGTGGATCCTGTTTTCGATAAAATCTGAAAAGTTTGCAAAACCCTTTGTATGTGATTGATTCAACACAATATACAGGGTGTCCTTAAAGCTCGTTCCAATAACAGTACGGTCTCTCAGTCTGTAAAGTGTATAGAGATTTTATAGACACCCTGTATTGTAATATAGTTTCTTTATTCTTTCTCAGTGTATTTCTTTCCATTTTAGGTCGCTTTGAACCTCAAGTGACAACAACAATCACAAAAACTCTAGAAGGATTCTCTATTTCTAATAAACCTGTTCCACCAAAGCCAGTATTTTCTCCACCATCAGTCCCCAAATCTTTCAAGCCATTCCATGTTTTTGATAAAACCCAAAAGGAAGCAGTTCAGAAGATTGACAAAAATACAAGAAGAGACATGAGTGCAGTAAAGAGAGGGGAACTGATAGGGGAACAACCGCATATAGGTAAATTTGGAAATGATGAATTCAATATTTATTTTGTAATTGTTAGTCAGTTGGTCAGTTATTGATGTGTCATTTCTATGTGAGGAATAAATTAATTGGGCTCATATAAATCAGTGTTTGATAACTCAAAAGCAATCAACATTATACGAAATGGGACTTATGATTAGTAATTTTTTGATTTATGGAATATTGCCTTAATTTGCACCTAGTATAAGCAGCCGTGTCTTATTTTCAGCTTCTGTATTTGAACTAATATCCAAGGCAGATAAGGATAAGTTATCAATATCTACAAAGCCTTCAAATGAATTTTCCAAAATGGCCGAAACTGGTCTTAAATCTAGATTTGCATCATCCAATGATAACTCCCCGACACAAGAATCAAAGGAGTCCTCATCACAACAGCCAATATACAGAGGAGGAAGATTTAAACCATTTGAGAAAGATGCAGCCAAACAGAAAAGATATGATGAATATTTGTCTCTCTCATCACATAGCCAAATTGGTAAGTTCTTAATACAAGCACATGTGTGTCCATTTATTTTACATTCCTCGTCATCTCTCTACATGCACAGACAAACTCGGGAAATTCATAATCCTTTGCAAACAGAGAAGAGATGTGATCGTAAGCATCGAGTATAGCGTATATTGACCATTGGTGGAGTATGACAATTGATCTTTTCCTGCAAAACATTACTTTATGGGAGTGTCCTTTCAAAGATTCTAAAACTCATAAATAAATGTTGACTAATACCAATAACGCAGATGCAAGTAGGTAGTTACCTGTTTCACCACCAGGAAGCTCGTTCAGGTCAGATAGCATGGTGGGTGGGTATAGTAGAAAGTTCCCTTTAACTTAAATTACATCTGTTTTAGTGGTTCAATTTTCATATAACCCTTATGTATCTAATAGTTATGCAAATTAAGATATGTCCAGTAAAAGAAAATGTTATCCGACCAATACAAGAAAAGATATTTCACTTTTTGTGATTTTGTTACATGGGGTCTATGTGGAATCAACCCGAACGAGAAGTCACATTTTCAAAAAAATTAAATTTTGAAAGTTGATAAACAATTTTCGAAACCATATTTCTACGTGTACTTTTACATGTAGATTTCAAATATGACATGAATTTTTAATATCTAATGACGGAAATCAAGATTATTTCTACTCGCATCTAGTCTATTAATTAAACAATGTTGAACTGCTGTGACTGCTTATAATTGATGTTACAGTGGAACATCAAAGTACAAAATGACACTGGAAGGGAGTGCACTCTGTATGAGAAGGAACCAATAAGAGCATTTAAGCCATAATGGCCTTCAACTTTTCACGATAGATACGTACATAAAGATGTGAGCTTAAATGACAGAATGGGAGAGAGTAGAATTAGGCAAATGCCAGAGAGCATTTCTACTATATTACCCATGCCCAGTGTTTTTATTAAACTTCATTTCAGATGCATACAACCAAGTGGCTCCATCTAATATGACAGAATGGGAGAGAGAAAGAGAGAAGGAGGAATTCAAGAGAGCCTCTCAATTGTACAGGCCCATGTCTAGTGTTATGGCTACACGCTTCACAAAGGCAAAGTTTTCTGATGCAGAGGAAAGGGATGTTGAAGTACCAAAGGAAGATGGAGTAAGTGCATATACATGTATTATTGTAAGAAAGAATCAATTCATATTATACAAAACTATTAAGGTGAACCTGTTCATCTTTCAATGATTTTTGCCTTTTTTCTAATGTCAAAGGCATGACCATTGAATACGTCTTCTTATTTTCATGTCACATGTAATGTGTAGAACAATGAGAGAGTGGGGAATATGACCGTGATATAATAAATATCAAATCATCATATTGAGGTGAATACATGTCCATCTTTCCATCTGTATATTCCCCTTGTCCAGCTTAAGTTGGGCTGTTGGAATTATACTGAGTGCAAGATGAACATGTATTCACCAAGAATGAAATTGAATATTATTTCCAAGCTGTGATACCTGTTCTCTCATTGGTCAATCACATACCATGTGACTAGAAATATATAGCGATATTCCATTCATATGCAAGAAAAGATTTATTCATCATTGAATACCAGGCCATACAAGTCAAATCTATTTTGTTAAGAATCTATCTTTGACTTCACATTTGAAAGACGTACATGTAAAGTACAGGGTGAGCCAAAAAAGGTAACCCAAATAAATCCAATTATTACTCAGTCATCCAGAATGGGTTTTAAGTCATAGTTGGTTCAATCCCTTTTTCAATATTCTTTCATTCTAACAAGTTTCAATGGTCACAATTATATGGGCTTTTTACAAAACATGCTTCAAATGCCAAAACATACCAAAAACACCCAATATGAACCCCAGAATCTTGCTGCCCACTTTGGTGTGATGTGGTACTGTATATTGAAACAGGCTCCTGACTACCCTGTATATTTCATGGCCAGTTTTGTGTTGTGTTAACAGTCCCTATAACCATGAATATATCTAAAATTACTGGATGGTAACCATTTTTTGAATGTTTTTTTCTAAGAGAATATTCATAGCTATACAGTATATATATATTTCTTTTCTCGGGTAACAATGTATCACCACTCAAGCTTTCGTTGATGATACAATATTACCTTTCGTGGAATATTTCCTTATCACATGCTGAAACGTGTGATAACAGATAACATACAATTCAATTGTCTTGTATTAATCATTCATATTAGAGCAAATCAATAAATACAATCTATAAAACAAAAAGATAATTATGGTTCAACTGATTGTATCAATAAAATCATCAGAATAAATGGTTGTTTTGGGAGGGAAATGGTCAGAATAAATGGTTGTTTTTTGAGGGAAATCATCAGAATAAATGGTTGTTTTGGGAGGGAAATGGTCACAGCAATCAATATAATCAATAACAAGTGAATCTATTCCATTATTGTTGAGTACCGTGTTCTTTTAAAGCACGGATTGACAATATCAAGTTGACATAAACATTACTTCATTACTTGTTTAGGGTGATGTAAATGACCAGAAGACCGCAGCTAAGATGAAGATGTTTGGTAAGACGACTAGAGATGTATTTGAGTGGCATCCTGCAAAAACTGTGTGTAAGCGATTCAATGTACCTGACCCTTACCCTGCGTAAGTACATGTAGTATACAGTGTATATCTACTGGAGATTAAGTCCAGTATTAATTGCTAGTATTAGATTATCCAAATAAAATACAATAATTTACAGATTTTATTACACACGATTATCAGTGTTGATGTTTTATTTCATGGTGTATTGATACTGTGTCTTCATCACTGACTATGTTAAAATATTAATAATGGATTGTTATACTGTATCTCTTACGTTGAAATAATTCTACAATTACAGGTCATCTCTGGTTGGCCTACCTACAGTTAAAAAGGATAAATACTCACTATTCAACTTCTTAAGTCTGCCAGGTGACAGGTCCCCAAAACATCCTGAACCCTCAAGCCCACCCAGAGCTATAGAATACAAAGGTCAGTTACAGTGCCAAATGAAATTATTTGGAACATGCACATCTCATCCAGGAATTATTTTTGAGACTTGAAAGTGGTTATTATGAGCTTCAATGAATGTATATTTGACAGGCTTCTTTAACACTGAAGACAGTAATTTTTATTAGCTCACATGGTGAGCTTTTGCAATCGCTCACTTGTCCGTCTGTCTGTCCGTCCGTCCGTCCGTCCGTCTGTCTGTCCGTCCGTCAACAATAGTGGCACGTTTTAAAACCTCTGTCGATAGGATTCCTGTTTTAAGTTATTTCTGTTCAACATCAATACAGAAAACTCCCCTATGACTCCTGGTTCAAAAGCTCGCCTATTTTCAAAATGGCCGCCATTTTTGTCTCGCGAAATTCACTTTTGACTGGCACGTTTTAAAACCTCTGTCGATAGGATTCTTGTTTTAAGTTATTTCCGTTCAACATCAATACAGAAAACTCCCCTATGACTCCTGGTTCAAAAGCTCGCCTATTTTCAAAATGGCCGCCATTTTTGTCTCGCGAAATTCACTTTTGACCCATTTCTTAGCTTTACAAATAATTTCAGGTGTCCTACATTGTAAAAATCTTTGTCAATGTAAAGAGTAGATATATGAAATAATTTTGTTACAAAAAATCAGCGAAAAATTATATTTATATTTTTATTTTCAGCCATTTTAGTTAACATTGACTTGTCCATCTGACTTGTGAAATCCATTTTCCGTCAACAACAGTGGCACGTTTTAAAACCTCTGTCGATAGGATTCCTGTTCTAAGTTATTTCTGTTCAACATCAATACAGAAGACTCCCCTATGACTCCTGGCTCAAAAGCTCGCCTATTTTCAAAATGGCCGCCATTTTTGTCTCGCGAAATTCACTTTTGACCTATTTCCTAGCTTTACAAATAATTTCAAGTGTCCTACACTGTAAAAATCCATGTCAATGTAAAGAGTAGATGTATGAAATAATTTTGTTACGAAAAATCAGCAAAAAATTATATCCATTTTTTTTTATTTCCAGCCATTTTAGTTAACATTGATTTGTCCATCTGTCTCGCAAAATCCACTTTTGGACCATTTGCCTTAAACCCTCTGTCGATAGGATTCCTGTTTTAAGTTAATTTTGTTCAACATCAATACAAAAAACTCTCCTATGACTCTTGGTTCAAAAGCTCGCCTATTTTCAAAATGGTCACCATTCTTGTCTCACGAAATTCACTTTTGGCCCATTTCCTAGCTTTACAAATAATTTCAGCTGTCCTGCATTGTAAAAAGCCATGTCACTGTAAAGAGTTGTTGTATGAAATAATTTTGTTACAAAAAGTCGGCAAAATATTATATCAGTTTTTTTATTTTCAGCCATTTTAGTTAACATTGATTCGTCCATCTGTCTCTCAGTCAGTCCAAAAGAGTGGCAAGTTTTAAACCTCTGTCAACACTTTTTAAATCCTCTGTAGATAGGATTCCCGATTTAAAATAATTTTGTTCAACATCAATAAAGAAAAAAAAAACTGACTCCTGCTTCAAAATCTCGCCTAATTTCAAAATGGCCACCATTTTTGTCTCGGGAAATTCACTTTTGGCCCATTTCCTAGCTTTACAAATAAGTTCAGGTGTCCTGCATTGTAAAAAGCCATGTCTTTGTAAAGAGTAGTTGTATGAAATAATTTTGTCACAAAAAATCAGCAAAAAATTATACCCGTCTTTTTTTTTTCACTTTTGAGCAACACCATGTGAGCCCAGTACCCACGGTACTAATTTTTAACATGTACATTTCTCACTTTTATGCTAGTCTCAGGTATTATTGCTCATGAGTTGACAATATATTTTTGAGATAATCAAATTTTTAGATTTAGAATGGTTATAAATAGCCTACTCCAAATATATTCAATCCACATCCACATTGAATCCATACAAAATTATCCATGTAAATATGCGTGGCAAAAATCAATGATCCACAAATGGGCATGGAAATAATGCGGATACAACATTAAATCTACATGGATTTGAGACACTGAAATTGACCAAAAGTGGATTACACATTGAGAATATTTATAGTCCATATTTAAATGGCGGTCAGCATAACATTTTATTTGAGATATCATAGATATTATATATATGTCAGCGATATCAAAGTCAAAACATAATTTTTGTTGTATATGTGACACACTTTTAATTACTTTGCAGCTGATTTGACTGACTACAGGTGAAAACATCTGATATTTTTAATTTCTTCTTTTCTCTAGATATTATTTATTTAACTTCAGGTGAATCAGTTGCGTCAGATACTCCTGCTGAAACTTCTGCTAAACCTACGAGTGAAACATCAGACATTGTCACACAATGGATTGACAAGAAGAAGGAGGGAGAAGTTCCAAATAAGGTACCCTACTGTAATGTCTTACTGTCTGTATTTTCTGCTTTATATTTGGAATCAATGGTAGTGTCAGAGAGTTCTTGCTGACATTGTTCACATCTACATGTAACTTCAGGTTGTAAATTGTGATTACATTTTGCTTTATTAAACTCAAGGACTATCAGAGATTGTCTGGCATTCCTATTTATACCAGTTTCATTTTAACAATTTCAGGATGAAGTGGACAAGCCTCCGATTGATCTCTTTAAGGCAATATTTGAAGATGATGATAGCGACACAAGTGATGATGACTCCAATGATGATGATGACAATATAAACAATATCACAACCAAACATGATGCTACTGTAGATATCAAAGAAGAACCAGGAATTGTTGATGAAGTTGATCCAGATCATGTCCAACAGAATTCAAAGTCAAAGCAATTGGTTAACACCAAGGGTTAGTTGGTTGTTTTGCTTCTACAGTGTTGGATAAATGGATTCTGAAAATATTAAAAAACGCATTTTAAATATCAACTAGCGTACTAAGTGTTTGTATGTGTATGAGTTTCATTTTAGATTAATCTATTTGCTAGATACAATAATGTGATCAAACTATTTTTTGATTCTTAATTAAAATTGATAATTGCTTCCACTTCAAAATTAATTCATAAATTAAATTTACAATATATAACTATTTCAGGTATTCTTAGCATATTTGGTGACTTTGAAGCAAAGGAAAGGGGGACATTCAGAGAACAATCTCTTCAGCAAAGGTTAACTGGTGAAGCAAATGAGTTAGACAGGTCATCAAGGTCAAGGTCAGTTGAAAGGTCAGATGTCAAGTGCATTGCTGGACCTGCACTTCCTCCAGGCTTTAACCAAGGTAATCTTGAAAGATATAACTAGATTTTCTCATAATTGGCTCACAAAATAGTGCCTTGATGAAAAAATAGTGCCTAGCTCAGTTGTTCATATTTTTGGTGATAATCAAAGCTTAATGAAGCACTCTCTGTATTATGCCAGTTGAACTGAAAGATCAATATTCAAAAATAAAAGCTTTGAATGGCATTATTCTACTGTAATGGGCAGCTTATAGGCAGCTGCCATATAGAGGGTATACTGCTGCTCATATTTAAGTATTATCACAAGTACGAGTATAACAATCTATGCCACCCCCTCCGCCCTAAATTAGAACATATTGCTGCATAGAACACTTATTCTATCAAATTCAAAGTAAATTAATTGATTTGTTGACTTTGCAGGTTTCTTTGATAAAGAATCAGCCACTCATTCTGGGAGAGATGGGAGTAGTCATAGGAAACACAAGAAGGACAGGCATAGAGATAAGAAAAAGCATAAGAAAGATAAAAAGGTTTGTTTAATAATACTGTGAATCAACAACTCAATTGAAACCCCAATTATGTGCTAAATAAACACTCATTCTTTACTATAACTAAAATTCATTTCCTATGTGTGTTTGGAATGTGAATTAGCTATAAGCCACAACCATGATACCTACATATCATTTTTGTGGTTTTGGAAAAAATTAATACCCTGATGAAAATATCATTGTATTTACAATACTTTTCCGCAGAAATCTAAGAAAAAGAAGAGTAAGAAGAAACACAAATCAAGAAAATCACATCATAAATCGGAAAGCGATTCTGATAGCGAATATGAAGACACGACTAGTGATGATGACGTCAAAGAGGTAGACCTTGATGATAGAATCATGAAGACGTGAGTAGTTCACAATTAGTGAGAGGTTTGGTAGTGTAATAATGGGGGCTAATAATGCAACTTACAATGAAACCATAGGTTCTGGGCCGATATAAAGATGGCAGCACCAACAGAATCCAGTATTATCTTTTTCTCTTTAGATTAACACAGATCGATTACCATGCCATCTTTATTTAAAAATTATTTCTATCCACCTTAGCCTATGAATGTACATTTTTATGTCACCACCAAAAGTGGTGGCATATTGCTTGGTCTCCCAAGTTTTTTTGACGGCGGTTGGTGTCTAGCGGTTGACATCTGTAACAAATTCTTAAAACTTCCAATAAGTTAACAAAAAGTGTTCAGACTGACTCCAATTTTTCAAAATCGTCAAGTTCAAGTCTGACTTTAGATTTGAGATTTGACCTTCAATAACATTCTCAAGCTCGAAAAAGGTCAACAAGGTATTTTATCAATTCTTGCTTCTAATTTACCAATGTTTTCAAAATCATCTACAAGTTCTCAGAAGTTCAATTGTAGAGGTCAAAAAAGGTCAAAGAGGTATTTTTTCAACTTGCTTCAAATTGACCAATTTCATTTCAAATTGAGTAATTTTTTCAAGATCAGCTACACGTTTTCAGTAGTTCAAATCTGACTTATAATTTGAACTCATAGTATTGAGAACAACTAGGTGACATTATGTCATGTTAATGCCTTGTTACGAGATTGTTATGCTGTGTTGTTGCAGTGCAATTGTACACGTGTACATGTATTATGCGCCATGTAAGGAGTAGGCCTATGCAGAATGTCATACATTAGTATGTGAAATTAACCTGTGAATATTTGAATAAATAGGAGAATAATTTAAGAACCAAAACTGATGAATTGTATGATTTCCCTGTTTCAGATTGAAGTCTCTGCCAAGCAACAAACGTCTGAGAGCTGCAGATTTTATGTAATCTACCACATTCAGCTTGTACCATTAATATATATTGGTGAAAAAGGACTTGCATCATTGTAAAGAGACTTGCATCATTGCAGAGACTTGCATCATTGCAAAGAGACTTGCATCATAGCAAAGAGACTTGTATCATTGCAAGGAGACTTGCATCATAGCAAAGAGACTTGTACCATTGCAAAGAGACTTGCATCATTGCAAAGAGACTTGCATCATTGCAAAGAGACTTGTATCATTGCAAAGAGACTTGCATCATTGCAAAGAGACTTGTATCATTGCCAAGAGACTTGCATCATTGCAAAGAGACTTGCATCATTGCAAAGAGACTTGCATATAAAATTGCATCATTAAATTGATTTATTTTGAACTTCCCAAACATCAGCAATACTTAACAAATAGAATACTATAATCTATTATATGAGCTTTGATGAGGGTCTAAAACATGTTATTAACAAAGCAATTGTTTGCTTTAATTCAGCCAATTAATGGAATCATTGTGAAATCTGAAATTGGTTTGAAGTTCGCACTAAGGATTAATACATTCTATCAATTTTAAAGAATTTTCGAAGTCAGTTGGATGGAATCCTGATCTGAACACAAGTAGAATATGTCAACACTTCTGGTGATGACGTAAAGTGGCAATGGTGCATACACTTTTATATCACATGATGTGGCGACCACAGCCTTGTTGCAAAAATAACAAATTTGGATCCAGACTACAATAAATTTTATTCACTATAATTATTTATCCTTACATGTCATGTTGAAGAAATATTTTGCTCATTATATCACTGCCGTATTCATTACTCTCTGATTGGTCCATACCCTGCACGTGACTGGGGAATAAGATGCTTTGAATTTCCCAGTCAAGAATGCAACGTTCTAAAAGGGATATTGACCCTACAGGGTAGAGATTAAAAGGTGGATTGGATCGAGTGGATTGGATTCATGTAAAAGGTGGATTGGATCGGGAATCTTCAAAATATGGAATTTCTTTGAGATTCTTTCTCTTGATCTCCCTCTAGCTCTAATTTTCCAATAGAAATCATTTGGTGATCACTTGGGTCTCTTTGAGGAATCAGAACAAAGCAACAAAATATATATACTCCAATTAGATAGATACTCTTTAAGTATTTTACTGCTTTCCCTTGTAAATCAACTTTTATCAGACAAAATAAACATAGATCTGTAGATAAAAGCAGTCATTCAAATTGATGTGTGGATGTTCCCAAAACATTTCTGCTATGTTCTGTTTGGACTGGAAACAGATGATATAGATCTCCAAATCAGTCTGCCTTATGATTAATGAAATGTCTCAAATTACACTTGGAATGAATAAGGTTGTGTATCAGAAAGTGGGTACCAGGTCTTCCTTCTAGCCCATCCAAGCAAAATAATATTTTCATCCATTATTTGACATTCTGGAAGTGAGCAGAGCACCAATCTTCTTAGAGGGAGATCAATAGAATTTTTTAAGGAAAATCCATATTTTGAAGATTTCCGATCCAATCCACCTTTTACATGAATCCAATCCACTCGATCCAATCCACCTTTTAATCTTTACCCCCTACAGCCGTATTCATCGCCTGTACTACTGTTCAGTGTTCATACCCTTGATTCTATTAAGGTGAATACCTGTGCAAAAATATACATCTTCCAAAAATAATATTATTGAAGCCCAACTCAGATTGCACAGGTTAGTTATAAAGAAGCCTGGGCCATAGTTCCCACTTCACTAGCTGTAACAACTGTGGCATTTTCTCACAGGTATTCACCGAAATATAATATATGATTGTATAATATATACTGGTTAAGCCTGATTACATTATTGTCATTTAAACTACATTTACACAGATATTGAATAATTATAATATGTCTGAATCATATTTTTGTACCACCATGTTAAATCTCTTTAAACCCTAAACGAGGCTATAAACAATTGCCCCAACGGTTAGGTGGGGGTGGAGAGCCTATGATCTTGGAAACGAACAATCATAGGAGGTTATATTAGGTATATGTATCATTAGAAAGGTTATCCAAGTCTCAGCATTTTGAGCTTACTTATAGATATATTGAGCCATTATTATCCCACCGAATGAAGTTCGAGGTGATATAGAAAAGCCGTTCATTCGTCCGTCCGTGTGTTTGTCTGGGCAATAACTCAAATACCGATTGACAGATTTGATTCAAATTTTACAGGCTTATGCATTATGGATGTGGGACCTCTGCTTGAGAAGGAATTTCAATATTGCCGCTCAATTCAAAATGGCTGCCATTTTTCGTAAAAGAACATAATCTTTGATAACTCAAATACCGGTTGTCGGAATAGGTTGACATTTTAATGCTGATGCAAAATGATTTTTAATAACTCAAATACCAGTCGTGGACGGTTTTGTACGCTGATACGTCGAGCGAAGGACATATTCTCGAAAACTAATTTTCAAGATGAAAGCTGAATTTCAAAATGGCCGCCATTTTTTAAAAAGCGTAAACTTTGATAACTCAAATACCAGCGGACGGATTTGGTTCAAATTTATATATTTTACTACGCAAACCTTTACTACTTACACTAATATTGCCACTATGTGCTAACATCCACCATTGAATCTATCTATGGCCAACTTCCCGGGAATTTCTTGAGCATATTACACTGTGCACCCCCGCACACATGCCCGGATATTCCTCAATTATTCCGCCATTTTCCTTCTGTAAAGTCGGAAATTTTAGAATCGCAATAAATTTACAAATAACTTGTGACTATGGACACGGAACTAGGAAGTTAGTTGTTCTACAGGTTCATCAGTTACATATGAAAGTAAGAGGACGAGGAAAATAGATCATATGGAACTATAAGACAAGTTTTCAAGGTTTTTTCTTTGGGTTGTTAGTCCACAAAGAAAACATCTGATATATAAAATGTCGAAGATCTTACCTCGTTCGTTTTATCTTTGCTTACCCATATAGGGTCTTCAGTCCCGACATGAGATTATAGTAAGCATATGGAAAAGGTCTCTAGTGTCAATTGACCTTTTTCCAGACAATTTGTCATATATAAATGACAATTTCACAGGGGTCATTAGACCATCAGAAGACATCATGTACAGAGAACGTAATATTACATGTTCTTCTCTGTGTTATGTTACATGAGAGGTTTTCAATCCAGATAAGAAAGTAAGGAAGCCCGAAGAAGGTAGACACTGTGTTTATGCCTACAGTACCTTGCCTTACATTGAGGTCTTTCTTTTGGTTGTCAGTCCATAAAGAAAACATTAACTGTTCAAGTTTACATAGCTCTCAATTCTTCGTCTCTGTATTTATCACATAAACGTGTTCAGTTCCAGATGAATATGAGAAATTTGAAAAATATCTACATCTACATCTGAAGATGGCTTCTTTACTGCTGAGGTGTTTTTGGTTGTAAGTCCACAATAAAAACACATATGTGTTCAGGAGAACGCAGACGAAATGGCTTCTTTACTTCTCATGTGTTTTTTGGTTGTAAGTCCACAATGAAAACACATACGTGTTCATTAGAACGCAGTTATCATCTCTTTTCTTTATGCATAGTTTATAAAAGGACTCCAGTCCCGATATGAATTATGTAAACATGAAGAAATAAATACACCAGTAAATTTGTCTTTCAGGTTTTGACATGTGTCGAGCATAGACTGTATGATACTAGGATGAAGAAGATATTTCTTCATCTTACAGAAGATATTTCTTCATCTTACAGAAGATATTTCTTCATCTTACAGTAGCGTGATCACGCTGATGTTCAGATGAAGACACTTGGTCTACATACATTTAAATGTATTTAGAAAATAACACTGTATGTTGTAAAACCTGGTGTAGTATTAGACCACGTATGCTGACCACAGTATAATTAGTTTATTTAGTCCATTTAGTTTTATACTAGTTATGCGCAGCAGGATAAGTTTGTCACTTATGCATTTGGTACAGTTATTTCTGGACTGAGTTGTTTGTCTACTGTTCAGAAAAAGGATAGGCTAACGATTAACAAAAGTAACTGTAAGATTTACAGTAGGCCTACTGTGAAGTCGTCATCTTCTTCACAGAAAAGACCAATATAGCTTTTTAGCCTACTCATCTTCCAAGTAGATCTTTTCGAATCAGAGACCTATAAGTTATTGTCTCTGATTGAGCGTTTCTGTTTTCTCCAAGTAATTGTAGATGTTGCTATTACTATATGCTGAAGAAATCGATTCATGGATGATCACAATCATCCTGTTTTTGGTTGATTCCGTCTCTTCAACAGAGAAGTAGAAGGTGACTTAGATTGTTTTAGTTTTGAGTCACTAGACTATCCTTCTAGCTATATTAGCCAACAACTGAACAACACAAGTACTTATTCATATAAGAAGTGTTGTATGCGTTGACAAATGACAATGTCATGAACTTGTCATTTCTGACTGAAATCTTTATATTCTCAAGAATCATTTCTGAATACTCCTATTTAGACTCTATTCCTGGAATATTAACGTTCAGAGTTGAGTTGGCGGAAGTATCTTTGACATACATGTAGGTTACTTTCTCCAGATGCTTCTCATAAAGCATTCAACTCAGTGTTAATTGTTTGAGGAATTAAGATTACAGTCGAGGTTTTTTGAAAACTTAAACATTTGGCGGCTTTCAGTTTGCCAGTTAAAGTAAGGTTATGTCTAAAACATCACCTCAGTAAAGGTTTTGTTTCCTTTATTTTTCTTAGCCTTGACAGCTTTTGAAGTCAAAAGTTGATTATTGAAGTCTAAGATGACTTTTCAGATCTCTTGGTAAGTCAGTTCAAGAGACTGTAAATCAAATTCTGTGTTTTTCACTACAACCTTGGGTGTTATTCCAAAGGTTTTATTTTGTGACGAGGGGAAGTAGTTATACTTACTTATAACAACTTAGTCCCTATATCTGTATATCCAGACCATTGGCCTGTTTGCTACCACATCACACACAGAATGAATTTTTGTTTATTTTGACCTTGTTCAGGTTGCTCAGTTTTTAAACACGGTTTTAGTTTAATCACTGTTTTGAAGAGTGTTTTACTGAGCCAGCCTCAGTCATGACAGTATCATCTTCAA